TAACCATCCAAGAACCGAATGGATACACAGCTTGGCCTTTACTTCTGGATCCCAGAAGCCTTTTGCTTAGGTTTATTGTTTTGAATAATAATCCTGGATCTTGTCACTGAAATTTTAGATTGTGAAGATATTTTAGAGATTAACACAGCAGTTTAGAGATTGTGTGATGGAATCCATAGGCCCAGTTTTATTTCTGGTTCCAGCTCTGATTCCTTGGGCTAGTTAGTTAATCTCTCTGAGCCTCAGTTTCCATGGTTTCTACCTCACAGTGCTGTTGGGGAGATGAATGAAATAATGCATGTTAGGAGCCAGTATCTGGTGAATAAAAGATAGTGGATATTAACATTATCATCTTCATTATCATTATTGTCTGTTAAAATTTTCATTTTCAGTGATTCAACTGAAGCAGCCAGCTCCTCCTGATTCCAAAGAGCCTAGAGAAGTGAGAGGACATTGTTCTCAGAAGGAGGGAGAACATCTTCGGGTCAGGATCACATTTCAAATTTAGTTGTTGATTCATCTCATGTTGGGACGAGTCGCTGGGCCATTGCTAATGTTTCCTTTCTGGCCTTTGCCCCGGCCCTCACAGGGAACTGGTCTAACGTTTAGAAGAGACTCAGGGTGGAAGGTTTGGTTGTGATCCAGAAACACACAGCTCCTTAAAGCCAAGTTCCCAAGACATTGCTCAGAGACAAAGTTTCACCAAGAGTGTCACCCAAACACCACAAGACATCTGCTGGCTGAAAGTCTGTCTAGTGTCTAAAGAGAAATGGGGAAAAACATCTGAATTCTCTTGCGTTGGTACTAGCAACAACAAGAAGAATTGCTAGTTGTCAAGCACTAACCTGTGGAAATAAAAACCATTCAAATGAGAACAAGCAAAGGCTATTTACTCAGAGTTTGCTATAGCAAGGGAGTCGGCCCCCATCATTTGCAGTTTGGCAGACATTCAGCAGGCAGAGGACTGTAAAGCTTTATAGTGGAGAGAAGGGAAGGATCTGGATGCCCCCTGAGTGGAGGCTGTTGGCATGGGGAAGCTGTAGGCAGGCTAACTAGAGGTGGACGTCCTATGTGATCGGTTAGGGGTGCACGTTTGGCTGTCACTGGTTGGTCCTATGTTAGAAGCGGGACAAAAATTAGGGAAGCTGTCAGTTATTAATTAATCCCTGGCCATTTGGGGCTGATTGCTGCAGGGGTTATTGTTTGGCTTCCTGGGCTGGTTGCTGGAGACAGTGGTCTGACTTCCTCCAGGTCTGATTTGGAGATAGCAGGCTGGCTTCCTGGGCTGGTCTGTAGATAATGGGTTGGTTTCCTGGGCTGGTTGCTGCAGACTGTGGGTCAGAGTTCTGTTTTAATATGTGATCTGGCCATTGTCCATTTGTATATTCAGGCTCTTACGCTGTATATGTGGTACTGTGTTCACTGCTTTACACACGTCAACTTATTGAATACTTCCTTCTATACAAATAGCACACTCTCCACAATGTTCTGCACTGCTTGTGCTCCTGCACAGTGCATGCTGCAGATCTTTCCATATCAAACATACATTTTAAGTCCTCTATTTTTAAAATAGTGGCATAATATTTCATTGGATAGATGTACCATTATTTGTTTAACCACCCCCCAAACCCAATCTTTTGGCTATTACAAATTAGGTTGCAACACCTATCCTTGTGGTGATGACAGCTTGCATGTACAGCAAGGGATCTGTGGGATACATTCGTGGAAATGGACTGCTGGGTAAAAGGGAAGGTGCATTTGTAATCTTGAGAGATGTTGCTAAATTTTACCCCAAATGATATCTAATTTAATTCTTATAAAAACACTATATGATTGGCGTTTTGATAGACGAGGGAACTGTCTCATAGACATGAAATAGCTGGTCCACAGCGGTGAGTGCAGCCTTGGAATTGGAACCTCGGTCTAGCCAGTGGCTCTGAAGCACTGTGTCCTACTGCCTCCTCCCCGTGTTATGGTGGCTACTGTTATTAACCTCCAGCCTCAGGCCAGGCACTGAGCTAAGCACGCTCTGTACAATAGCTCATTTAAATCTCACAACCTTGGGAGGTAGATGGTACTGTATTTAGTCAATCTAAGCTGCCATTAATTGTGAATCACACCATTGCTCTATGACTCATCAAGATAACACAAAGCAATGCTACTTAAACTTGGGCATGCTGTTGATTGTAAGGCACTTTCTGATTTTAAGAGAGTGAAATGTAAAGAAATGTGCCTCTTGGAGTCCACAAAATACAACATGATCCTGTTTTACAAGTGAGGACATTGAAGTATCGTGAGGTGAAATGACTTGCCTAAGGTCACGCTAGACACTGGGAGAATTGAGGTTTGAAAGCTTATCCGTTTAATGCCAGAGCCACCTCAGTACTCAAACCTTTCCTTGCTCTTGTGCTGGGAGCAAATAATTCTTTGGTATCTGAGCTTCTCCAAGTAAAGTAGTGGTACCAGGGAATTCTCCAGGTTTAGATGGCAGAACACTAAGGCTTGGAAATGTGCAGGGTTGTTATCCTGGCTGTAAAGAGCTGAACTGCCACAGCCTCTGCCTCCTGGTCTAATCATCTTGTGTTCTAGAACTCTGTTGTGATGATCACATTTTCCTGCTTTAAAAAAAGTCCTCCAATGGCTCCTCACTGCTGTCATGTTAAGGTAAGGGTTATATTCTTTTCTGATAATCAAGTCCATGTGACTTCACCCTCACCTCTCATTTCTTTTCTTTCCACACCTTATACTTCAGCCAAACTGGCCTTGTGCTCCGTACATCGTCTTGCATTTTCTCTTCCAGGCTTTGGCCTGATTTACACTGTCTCCTTTGCTCTGAGTGCTCTTTCCACTCTCACCTCCACATAATCAAATCCCATATACAGAGTTCACCTCCAATGCTTTATATGCCCCTCTCTTTTGGAAATGATTGCTCTGTCCTCTGAGCCTCCTAATGCTTTCTCCTAAAAAACCACAAACTTTCTGCCATGAATTAGTTATTCATATGCTTGTCACGGCTCTCTGACTAGCCTGTGGACTTCTTGAGGGTAAAGTTCACACCTGACTCATCTTTGAGCCCTTCCTTTCACCTGATCTAGTGACCAACACAGAGTAGAGATCAGATACCACCCTTACTGTATGGAGCCCTACAATGAACACAGAATTGGAAATGACATTAGATAGAGACTTTCAAACCTGCTCTCAATTCCTGTACTCTTTGACTGACGTCTTTAAGGCAAGTTGATTCTGCAGGGTCCTAAATCTGTGTTTGGATCTCCTTGATTGCTTATATCTTCTGATATTTGCTTTAGAACACAAGATGTGTTAAACACCTGCCTGTAGGCCTCTGACCTGGTTTCAGCCCTCCAGGTGCCTCAGGTCCCCTCTTATCTCAGTATCCCCATCACAGTGATGTGGATGGTTCTGGTGTTGTGTTGTGAGGGAGGTGGAATTGGAGACCAGGGACTTGGCACAGATTCTAATCCTAGATCTTAAAAAATCACTGTGAAAGCTCCTTTCTTTGTAGACCTGGGTGACTTGGGGACATTTCCTGACTCTCAAGGTATCACCGTGAGGCCAATAGAATCTCCTTAAATTCTTAATTTTTTCTTATTGCAGTAACGTTGGTTTATAACACTGTATAAATTTCAGATGCACATCGTAATATAGTTCAAATTCTGTGCAGATTATATCATGTTCCCTACTCAAAGACTAATTGCAATCCATCACCACACACATGTGCCCTGTCACCTCTTTTGCCCTCCTCCCTCCCCACTTCCCCTCTAGTAACCACTAATCCAATCTCTGTTGCTCTGTGTGTTTGTCCTTGTTTTTATCTTCTACTTTTGAATGAGATCATATGGCATTTAACTTTCTCCCTCTGACTTATTTTACTTGGCATAATATGCTCAAGGTCCATCCATGTTGTCACAAATGGCTGGATTTCATCATTTCTTATGGCTGAGTAGTATTCCATTATGTATATATACCACATCTTCTTTATCCATTCATCCCTTGATGGGCACCTGGATTGCTTCTAAGTCTTGGCTATTGTGAATAATGCTGCAATGAACACAGGGGTGCATGTATCTTTATGTATTTGTGTTTTTATGTTCTTTGGAAAAGTACCAGCAGTGGAATACCTGGATCATATGGTAGATCTATTCTTAACTTTCTGAGGGAACTCTGTACCCTTTTCCATAGTGGCTGCACCAGTTTGCACTCCCACCAGCAGTGTATGAGGATTCCCTTCTCTCCACATCGGCTCCAACACTTATTTTTTCCTGTCTTGTTAATTATAGCCATTCTAATGGGACTGGGGTGATATCTCATTGTAGTTTTCATTTGCATTTTCCTGATAGTTAATGATGTTGAACATCTTTTCATGTTCCTGTTAGCCATGTATATATCTTCTTTGGAGGAATCTCAGTTCAGGTCTTTTGCCCATTTTTTAATTGGGTTGTTACTTTTTTTGTTATTGAGATGTATGAGTTCTTTGTATATTTTGGATATTAACCCCTCATCAGATATATGGTTTACAAATATCTTCTCCCACTCGTTAGATTGTTTTTTTCGTTTTCTCAATGGTTTCCTTTGCTGTGCAGAAGCTTTTTAATTTGATGTAGTCCCGTTTGTTTATTTTTTCTATTGTTTCCCTTGCCCAGTCAGACATGGTATATGAAAAAAATGCTGCTAAGATCAATGTCAAAGAGCATACTGCTTATGTTTGCTTCTAGAAGTTTCAGTTTATTTTATTTCCCCATCTTTGAAAAGAGACTAAATAAGAATCTCATTGAAATAGGATTCTTATTTCCATATTTGTTTCCTACATTTAAAATGCCACTAGCTAAAACTTGTTTTCTTCAGGGATCATAGTCATGTTAAAAAGTTATTTATGCTCATAGTGCCAGATAATGTGCTTTTGCTGTTGACACATTGAGGTAATTACATTTTATTGGTTTTGGTAATAATCTTAGAAATGGTTTTTTTTTATCTCTTTTTAGTTAATTTCCATCACATTTCTGAGAAGATTAAGAATTAAGTGAAGGAAAACTCAGAAATGGTCTAAAAAGTAGCCATCTGTGAACAGAAGGTATAATCATCCTTTAATTTTTATTTTCATGGCTTCTCCTTGAAGTACTTCCCCTTTCTTCTAGTTCACTTATTTTTCTCTCTCTTCTTTCATGCTAGTGTCCCATTTCATTACATTGTATAACAGTCTAAATTCAAAGCAAGCATCTTATATGTAAAGCACCACTTTTTAAAATTTCTGTATGAACTTACCCACGGGAGATAGGCTTCACTATCACTGTAAATAATATTTTTGAATTCTGAATCCATTATTACATATCTGTATAGATCAATGAAGCGAAGAAACATGCTCAAGAAACAAAGGGGCAAAATAAGATTCTCTGTGATGAAGTACATAAATTTAAGGTAAAAATCCTTTCTTTTTCCTAGATTGCACTCTAAAAACAGAAGTAAAAGTAATAAGTAAATATTACTAATCTCTATGTTTTGTTGAAGAATAACATCGAAACACCTGAAAGCACTAATGAAATTGTTAACAACATCCTTCCACGTATATGGGCTAAGTTGCAGTGAGAGAGAGATGGGAACATGCAGAACTGGGACTTGGTGCGAGTTATGACCATAATTTGACTTTTGAGATTTTGTTCACTGGGTAAATTGAGCCCTGCATTCCTCCATGCTGTTCACTGCTGTTTCAAGTACTAATACCCACAATGCCTTTTTTATTTAAGGACTTAGGAAGAATTTTTTTTCTGATTTTACAACCCTGGGTTAATTGTTTATATCATTCAGCACTCCCTCCCCTCCAAGAAATATAGAACTGAGAAACTGTAGGAAAGAGTACTAGAGACTTCTAGCCACGTTGAGCAGTCCTAGCCCCCTGAATGCAGAGCAGAGAATTTTCAAAGTGAATCTAGTGACACTATTTATCTCCCACTAAGAAACAGTTCCTTTCAGCTGTTTGACTTCAAGATTTTAGACTTTCTTTGCTTTTGCCTCATCAGCCAGTCCAGCATCCCATTGTCTTGAAAGTAGGAAAGTTGGAGCGCCCACGAGATATTTGTGACTTCGGTTATTCTTTTAGTTCCTCATTTCTTTCTGTGTTTGACTTTTCTTCTCGACTTAAACTGGATCAGCTGCTTTTAATGATTCAGGGGCTGATGTATGTTTTGTTGGCATTTCTTCTTTTTAGCATATCGTCCAGATTTCGGTTGAAATCTAATACATTTTGTTTCTATTGTACGTGCAGAGAGTAGAAAAGAAAAATATACAGAGAGTTAAAAGGTGATATTTCAGTGAACACCTCAGGAATTTCAGAAGTAAACTACCTATATTTGCTGCAGGATTTTCATTGTACACCTTAGCTTTGATGAAGAACAAATATGACATGTCTTAGAGTATTAAATTTGTATGTTAGCTATTAGGGATTTTTCTTCTTGGGAACTAAGTCATTAGTGAGAATGTTTGGCTTAAGTTCGAATCCCCCTTAATGAATTTCATGTCAGTGAAGCGAAATTGAAGTCTGAAGAAAAACATGTACGGAAGGAAAATGCTCAGCTTAAGGTCAAGTAGGAGCAGAGAACAAAAAGTTACTTCCATAGGTTACATAAATCAGAGAACTAAACATCATTACTTCCTTTTTAATTTTCTTATTTTTAATTGTGGTAAAATACACATAACATAAAATTTACCATCATAGTCATTTTTAAATGTACATTTTAGTAACATTAAGTACATTGACATTGTTGTACAATCATTACTTCTTGAATACCTTTTCTCAGATCTGTCTTCAAGTCCAGAGATATGAGTGTAGGATTCAAGGAGTCCAAGCAGAGAGCCTCAATACCTAATAAATGTACCCTGGAAGGTATGTTGTTTGTGGGGAAGAAAATCCCATATAGTAAAAATGAGTTTTCACTGGGAAGGTAAAAAATGGCTTCTTGCCCTCAAGATTCTCTCCTTTTTCCTCTCCCCTCCACAACCCAGTTCTTGGGAACATGTGCACACACACGAACAAAATTGTTTTATGTTTTACAGAAAGGAAAAAGAAGCTAGAAGACAACTGTGAGGCATTGAGATCTGTTAAAGTGACAAAGAAATCAAATTAAAAATGTTAAAGAACAACATAGGTGTGATTGATGAAATCTGTGGACAAAGAAAGATGGTCACAGAGGAGTAAGATATTCACGTGTTGTTACAAATACTGTTGTGTTAGTGAATGTGGGGAACAATGTAGATAATTATAATTTAGAATATTAACCACCATATTTTTGCCATATTCATTCTATAGAGAAATGTTTCCCGTTTCTGCCTTGACTTTTGTAATCTGTACCTTCCGTTCCATTCTCACTGGTTATCAGAGATTCTTATTTGTAATTAATTTCAGATTGGATGGAGTATTGGTACCAGCTTTAATCACTTCGTTGTCTAGAACCCTGTGGGTGCATTTACGTTGTACTCTAGGTTTCAATCCCGTCATAGTATCATGACCTGCCATATGTCTATCATTTCTTATTAAATTCTAGACATTGGGTAGAAAATATGTAGAGAAAAATTGAGGCCTCGTGTTGTGTTATCTTGCTGCAGAAAATCTGGGAGTTTACATCTGGCAGGTGATCAGGGATGCCAGCAGTACTGAATCCTATTCATCCAGTTAGCAATTCAGACCATTCACTGAAGGCTCAATCCCTCCTAAGGCCAGTGTGTTTTCTGTCCACCTTTATTCTTCGTGTGTAATCTCCTGGGACCCAGCTAAGGCCTGCACATTTTTCTAGGGATGACCTTCATTTAGTGACCGTGAACTCCAGTTGTTTCACTTCTGTGCCCGTGGATGTGTGCAAACGCTGCTCAGCTTCTTCGCATCTCAGTAGTCTCCTCTAGAATTACTTGATGAACCCTGGGGAAAGTGGTCCCAAATGCCAGGCTGACCTTAATCCTGGGCTTCCTTCTTCTCCACATTGGCCTCATATTTCTTTATTGGCTTGTTAGTAATTTGGTGCAATCATGAATTTCCTATCTTGGCCAGTGTTTTCTCTTGTTCTCAGGGGGAGATGAGGGACTTCAGACCCACTCATCCATGTTCAAATGCAAAATTTTTCTTATATTCCCTCAAGAGTCAGGTTTGTGTTATCCCTTCCCAAGCCTGAGGGGTTGCTCTGTCCTCACTGACATCTTGTTTGCATTAAACTGTGAGATGTTTTAGGGTGGGAATAGTGCCCTGCTTCCCTCTGTGTCCTCAACACCTTATAGTGCACCCACTACATTCCAACAAGTCCAGAAAGCATTTGCTGAAAGATTGCTGGGTGGAGTCACATGAAGTGAAGTAGGTGGAGTCAACATCTCACTTATTGAGATGGGGGAGACTGGGGACAAGTTTGGGGTTTGATCTCTTTCCTACTGTGCCAAGATACAGCGTAAACAAATCAGTCCACCTCATTTGAAAGTTTTAGCCAAACTCTTGGAACCCAAACCTGGTGGAGGTGGTGTGCATAGTGGTCAAATGCAGTATCCGGAGTGAGATTGCCTGGGATTATCTCTCAAGGGCTTTCTAGCTGTGTGATCCTGACTGGTTGCTTAACCTCTCTTTGCCTCACTTTCCTCATCTGTAAAATGGGGATAATGAAACCCAGCTCCCAGTGATGTTGTGAGAACTAGATGAATGCACAGCCTATTGTAAACACTCATCAGATGTGCCTATTATGGCTTCCCTTGCAGCCATGTCTGAATTCCAAGCCAAACAGCTCTTCTAAGGCAGCACCAACCAGGAAAAAGTGGGAATGAGTAAAACAGGATCGAAGACACTCAGGGGCTTTTATTATCCAGCCCCTACCCACCCACCACAATGATAAATAATTTTATTGGAAGAGATCACCTCAGAAAATGATGCCAGGACCTAGAAGATGGGCACCTTCCCTCCTAGCTTTGGAGAAGCTACAGTTCTTCCTTGACTCTTGGTTTCTTCTCTTGTCTTGGAGGTCCTTTTGGCTTAGCCACTTTCTTCTCCTTCTCAGCTATTTCTTTCTGCCCAGCTGGGTATTCCGGCTTGGTCCCATTCTCCAGCTCAGGCAGCTTCTGCTCAGGTAACTCTTTCTCCATAAAAGGTACCTCTTCTTCCTCAGCTAATACCTCCTCTTCTATCACTTCACTTTGCTCAGTAGACAATAGCTGTTCAAGAAAAGGAAGGAGGAAGGGAAGAAGGAAGATAAAGGAAGAGGTAAGATGGGCCAGTCCAGTGGCATAATGGTTAAGTTTGCACACTCTGCTTCAGTGGCTGGGGTTCACGGTTTGGATCCCAGACATGGACCTACACACTACTCATCAAGCCATGCTGTGGCAGCATCCCACATACAAAACAGAGGAAGATTGGCACAGATGTTAGCTTAGCAACAGTCTTCCTCAAGCAAAAAGAGGAAGATTTGCAACAGATATTAGCTCAAGGTCAATCTTCCTCACCAAGAAAAAAAAAAAGAGAGATTGTAATTGCCAAGGCCACTATTTCTAGAAATGCCCAGAGAGAGGCATCTGGAGGATCCTCTTAGATGCAAAGTCCATTTGGCTTGGGTGGGGATGTTCTCATCTGTGATTTTGCCCCTCCAATAACAGGACCTTTGGGGAACCACCGTTTGTCCACTCTTTAGTCCACAGATGTGGCTGCCCCCTTGCCTAGGTCAAGGCTGGACATGTGACCCAGGCCTTGGTAATGAGGTCCCTTGTCAAGGACATTTGCTAGGACTACTAAGAAGTAGGTTCTTTCTTTCTAAGATAGGAGGATGTTAGTTTAGAGCTGTGGGGCAATCTTTGACCCTCTGTGGGGAAGTGACTGCTTTGGAAAGAAGCAAACATAGAGGAAAACAGAGATGGGGAGACAGAAAATGAGCTTGAGCTCTGGATCCACCCATGCCTGAAGTTCTACCCGTTATGTAGGATAAATTCCCAATGTTGCTTAAGCCAAAGAGTAGTGATTCTGACATTGGTAACTGAAGGGTCCTAACTAATACAGATGGCACCTTCCAGCAGATGGCCTCACTAAGGCATGAACAGGATTAGGAGAAAATGGGGAGTGTCATCCCATCCATCAGGAGAATAATGCCACAGGGCAGTATGCCATCAAGACATCTGGTTACCAACTCAGGAACAGTGGACCCAGGGAAGCAGCCTTGGGAGCTGTGTGAGACCACAGAACCTTTGCCCTTCTGAGTGTTTCTAAATTCTGCCATTTCTGCTTCCTTGTAGTAAGTGCCTTTGAAATAAAATCATCCAAACTGGATGGTTGTTCAACCATCTTCAAGTATCTCCTGAGTGCACAAGAATAATGGAACTCTTGGCACACTCTTTCCTAGTCCATTGAGGTCTTGATGATTCTGTGTGGGAAAGAATAACCCAGGGTGCTGCTGTTTGCCTTACCTCATCTTCATCCTCAATCCTGGTCTTGATTTGACTTTCCAGAAAGTCTGAAAAGCCCTTCATGGTGTATTCTCCCTTATATGGTACAACCTAGGAAGAAAACAGAACTGGGTCAAAATGGTAGCCTCTTCCTGCAGAATACTCAGGGGCTGTTCCATAGGTAAATCCAGAGTCCCATTCCTAACCACCTGAGTACAGTGGGCAGGTTCCTTAACCTCTCTGAGCCTCTGTTACCATGGCTCTAAGAGAAGGATAATAAAAACTCCTCCATCCACAATGATTGGGTCAGGGATGAGCAACTGACCTAAGCTGGACTCCATCTGAGTCTTGGGACATTGTGGAAACTAATGGAAAACACTCTTGAACTTGAGAAGGTAATAGGAGCTGGAGCTAAGAACGAAGCTGATTGGGTAGAAGGCAGAGCAGGAGAAAGGGAGGAATTGAGTCTATGCTAATAAAGCAACAACATTTCCAGTTAATGTAAGTCCCAAGAGCCCCTCACTTTTTGAGAGTCGGTGGGGAAGAGCCTGAAGAAGGGGTACCGGTCCAGGTTCATCAGCTGAATATCATTTGCCGTGATGTCGATCTTGGCGATGGTGACTGTGGAGTGGTTTTGATATTTTCTGCCCAACTCCTCCAACACTGGGAACAGCGCCCTGCACTTTTCAGACCAGGGTGCATCTGGAAGAGAGGGGCCATTGCTCAGGCTCACACTAATGAGGACTCTGAAAGCCAACACTCCCCATAAACACCATCACTGTGTTCTACTAATGGTTCTGCTGCTTTGCAAATTGTACTCCTTATTTCTTTTAATGATATATTAGGGTATTTTACATTTTAAACATAGAGCCTTGTCATTATTAAATAAATCAGAAAAAAATTAACCTACTCTCCTTTTGCCCAGACACTAACACTTTTAGCATGTTGGGACATTTTCTTCTATTCTTTGTTTTTCCTTTTACATAGCTTTCCACTCCAGATGAAGAAGAAAACCAAGAAAAGTATTTATGCTAGATGCTTCCTCATGTTCTGCTAGAAAGCATGTGTGTGTGTGTGTGTGTGTGTGTGTGTGTGTGTGTGTGTGTGTGACAGCATTAAAAGTTTCCAATGGAGGTTAGACTTGTAGCCTAAGGTCACCCAGTGAGTTAAGCAGAGGAAGGGGGATTTGAAGACAGGTTGCTTTGACTTGTGACCATCACACCATACTGCCTTTCAGTCTGGTGGAGAGAATCCCCCCAAGAAGTGAACAGAGGTTGTGACAAGTACCACTACCCCAAGAAAGGGGACATTGGACTTCGCTGTGGGACAATTCCTTGAGCTGTGATTTTGGACCAGGCACCCAGCCCTTTGGAGAGAAATCAGGGACCAGCTCCAACACGAAAGGGAAATCGAACCTTGCCTGCTGGTCGTTCTGTTAGTTTCTGGCTGTGTGGGAGGAATGGCCTCAAAGGCCCCGGACACTCCACATTTGGATGATCACCCCTCCATTTACAAAGCAAGTGCCTCCAGGACCACCTGCTCTCCCAGCAGCAGACCCGCAGCTCCCCTGGAGCCCGATGGGCCCTGAGTTGGAGCAGGAGGGAGCATAATGGCTGCAGTCCCAGGGGGCCAATGTGACAGTCCTGCTTCCAAGAAAATGAGGCTGCTTTTACCTTTTCCCAGAACCAAGTGGGCACTCTCATAACTCTAGGTGTCAGGTAAGTACAGAAAGGGCCACTGCAACCTCTCACTTAAAGGCAGCGGATCATGATTATTTAGCCACGCAGACCTTAAACACCCCACCCTGTGGATGAGAGTCCATTTCAGTGAGATTTAAAAGGGCTGCATGATGCAATCCAGCCCTCCTTTCACCCTCCAGGAAGTGATTGAATCAGAGCTCAAACTGACCTTTTTGCCTTGCAGCTTACTTACAGTGTGGCCTAGGGTAAGGCAGTTAACCTCTGTAAGGCTGGGTTCCCTGATCTATATTGTGGGGCAATCCACTGGGCCATCCTAAGAGGCTTGTTTTGAGGAGGCAATGAGAGCAGGTGTGTAAACAGCAAACCCATGTCTGGCTCATGGTATGTGCTCAATAAAATGGTAACTGCGTGTTAAATAAAAGAGATGTCTGAAGCAGCTTCATTATCATCCTTCTCTGTGTCTCAGGATGAGAGACAAGGTCCCTGGCTTTGGCTCTCATGGGCAAATCAGAAACAGTGGGGAAAGGGCCAGAGTCCTTAGGTGAGCACTGGAAATAATTATAAGAAAAGAACTAATAATAGCAATAATGACTGTCATTTATCAAGTGCTTACAACATGCCAGACACTGTACTAAGTCCTTTACATGCATGATTCGGGTCCCCAGCTTGGCCGCACCAGCTCAGGTGGGTTAAATACAGCACATTTGGTAAGTCACATAAAGCCAGAAGCAGCGGGAATCCGTATGGCAGTTACCAGCATAGGCACTGGAGTCAGGCTGCTTAACTTCCAATTCCAGTTCCAGCACTTACTAGCTGCCTGATTTTGGAAGTTTCTTCACCTCCTGGGACTCTGTTTAGTCATCTGTAAAGTGAGAGGAGCAATAATAGTAGCTACTTTCAGAAGTATGTTGTAAGGATTAAATGAGATAATGTGTAACAAGGCCTGGTGTATCTTGGCATTCAGTCAGTGTTAGCCATCAGCATTATTATTGATGTAAATAACCACAGTCCTGGATTCTGTGGAAAGAATTCTACCCGTTCCAAGAATTCAGCTTTTGAGGAGAGTTGCACTGTAGCTGATTAGCATCATTTTTTTTAAGATTGGCCCTGAGCTAACATCTGTTGCCAATCTTCCTTTTTTTTTTTTTCTTTTTGGGTTTTCTCCCCAAAGCCCCAGTACATAGTTGTATATCCTTGTTGTAGGTCATTTTAGTTCTTCTATGTGGTACGCCACCACAGCATGACTTGACGAGCCGTGCATAGGTCTGCGCCCAGGATCCAAACTGGCGAAGCCTGGGTGGCTGCAGAGCACACAAACTTAACCACACTGCCAAGGGGCTGGCCCGTGATTAGCATCTTGATCCAAACTCTGGATATCTGAAGACCATCTGTGCCATGATGCTTTGATAGATTTTGGTGCCCAAGAATGCAGGAGCAACACTTGTAAAGTAATGTCAGGGCCATTGCCTCCCGTGGCCTCTGTGGAAGTACTTACAGAACATCACAAATACATCCCTCTCCTTGTCAAAGACGATGACATTGAAATTCTTCCCAACAAGCTGCTTAACTGGCCCTTGGTCCCAAAATTTTGGAATCTCTTCACTGGATTGATGTTTCTAGGAGGCAAATTTGAGAGGTCTAGCAATCTCCAGAAAGGGATTGGCATTTGTTGCTTCAAAACCAACTGAACCAGCATCAAAATCAAGATAATTTACATGACCTGTAAGATCTTTATCACATTTCGGTTCCTGCCAACCTCTCCAAGCTCCTCACCATTCCCTTGCTTTCTTTAGCTACACTGGTCTTCTATACCCCAGAGGACTAGCCTTCCTCCCACCTCAGCCCTTTGCTTATGCTGTTCCTCTGCCTGGAGGGACACCCCCACCCATTCTTACATTCCCTTCTCCATCTAGTTAACTCAGATTTATCCTTCAGAGTGACCTCAAGGGAGGACTTCCCTGACTCTCATCCAGACTAGAGCAGATCCTGCCAGCATACATTCTCATAACACTTGGTACTTGTCCTTGTATCACTTATTCAAGTATATCATTTATATTCATTTTTCCGGATATTTGATTAATGTGTCTCTACTACACTAGACAGAATGTCACAAGGGACTTTTCTTCCCCCATCTTTGAATATCCACTGCCTGGTACATACTAGGACCTCAATAAATATTTTATATATAAATATTTTGTAAATGAAAGAATGAACCAAGCTCTTGCTCCCCTTTGAAGGAAGTGGTACAAATTTCAGAACCTATGTTTCTCTCTACAGCCATTACTTCCTGACTATCTCTTGAGTCCACACCCCTCTCTCTGTTTGCACTGCTGCTACCCTAGTCCAGGAAGCCTTCCTCTCTCATCTAGATCACTGGGATAGCCTCCTAGTGTTCTCTTTGCATCTCCTGTTAATCCTCTACATGCCTGTATTCTCCTACAAGCAGCGTTCTGCCTTCACCATGCAAATGTAGCTTCCCATTGCTTTTAGGATACCAAACCCTTAATATGCTTACGTGTCCTTGCTGTCAGGTCTGCTCAGCTCACCAGCCTTATCTCCCACATTGCTCTCCCTCATTTCCACCCCAGCCTCTGGAAAGGACTTGAAGATTCTTTCCAAGGGGGCATACAGGGGAGTGGGGGCTGGGCATGGGAGATGGGAAACGGTGAACATGATGGAGAATTAGGAATGGGCCAGATCAGGCAGACCTCATCACTCATGTGAACATCTTCATTCCAAGAGCACAAAAGGACCCCTGTTGTCCCTAGAGAGGGAGACAGACACCTTCTGAGGTATAACCAGAGGGAAGAGAAAGAGGATGGGTAGATCTCCACGTACATTTGTAGATGTGGGGAGGGAAAGTGAGAAGCCTTCTATTTTCTTAATGATACGTGAGTCAAGTACTCAGCTGAGACTTGGGGTATGAAGAGAAATAGGTTTAGAGATTAAGAGAATGAACACACTAAGAGAAATTGACATAGAAATATTAGGAAATTTCTAAGATCCCATGGGAGATTTGGTTTATGATTCCATGAAGGCAGCCTGCCTCACAGTGATGTTCTTTTTTCTCCAGGATAGGCCTGGAAGCAGTCAGGAAGGTAAGTGGGTTAACTTGGGTTGTGATTTTGCTTGGTAGATACTACAGGATATAGAGGAGCTAGAAGGTGGAGGGGATAAAGGAGCTAAGGGGATCCAGACCAGAGTGATGAACGATGGAATTGAAGTTCACAAAGGAGGGCACTAAAGAGATTGTGAAATGAGATCAGGAGGTTGGAGTCCGTGAAAAGGTAAGGAATTGTACCAGTGTGTATTCTAGAGAAGGGATCTAAGAGGATGAGAAGCTTGAAACCGGACTTTCAGAGGGGCTGCCATCTCTAGAGTTTGGCCACGAGAGCGAGTGGCTGAGATGGCATAGACACGCCAATTATGGGAGAAAAGACCAAAGTTTTAGATATGGACATCCCTGGAACTGATAGCAGAGTAGGGATGAAGGGCAAGTGAGGAGCTGAAGTCCTCAGAGGGTGAGAGGGAGGTGATCAGAGGACAGCAACAGGGAGTGGGATCAGGTAATCTAAGGTCCAAAGGCATGGACTCCTCAGGGTCTGGAGTTGCTCAAGGTAGGAGTACAGATGGTTTGGAAGTGGTGTGGAGGACACCAACGTCACCACTTGGCCTGTGACAGCATGCATCAGAGAAAGAACAGCTTTCACTTCAGAAAGCTGCAAGGGAGGCAGTGTCTGTGGGAGAGCAGACAGAAGGTAATGAGTGTCCTCAGATGTAAGGTGACCGTGCATTCTGGTTTGTCCAGAGAGTCCCAGCTTTTTCCTGCTGTTCTAGAATACTTTTAAAGAATGCCCCATTACTCTCAAAAGTGTCCCCATTTAGAAAATTAAAAATATGGTCACCTAACTCTGCAGGGAAGTTGAGGATACAGCAAGTGCTCAATAAATGGCAGGTGACATTGTGTTATGCAGCCATCATTTTGCAGCCTCTCCTCCCTTTTAGCAAAATAGGCTCCCTTCTAACCCCTCAAACAAAAGGTCCCTGAAGGCTTTGAGGTTAAATCCTGATTGCTGAATACATTCCCACCCCATCTTCTCCCCAAAAGCAAGCTCTAGCCTTGGACCAAGTGAATCTTTCACGTTACAGTCTGAAAGAAGATTAAGAGCTCCATTTTGGAGGATGTTAGCCCTGGAAGTGCCTGCATTTCAGTTGGAAATAGCTGCAGAGGAAACATGCTTATGTTAAGAATAAAGAATTAATGGTGGAATTATAGAGTCAAGACAGATCAAAAGCTGAATAGATTTGAGGTGGGAGATGGAGGTATTTCCCCACATTGAACCATAAGGTTGATCTTTATCCTGCCTCCGCATTCAGATGACCAAACCCAAGCAGAATTACCAAAAAGGGACGATTTGAGATTCTGGATAAACCTTGTCAAAGAACAAACTTACCTTGGCACTATTATTCAGGAAGCTGCGGCCGAATTTCTTGAGGTTTTCATAGGTTATCTCTTCAGAAGGCATTTTGTATCTCGCATCAGAGCTTAAGTTTAGGATCTGGACAGATGGGATATTGACCTCTGTGATCCGGAAGTATTTGAAGACATGTCTGTTTCTGGGTTCATCTGCATCCACAAGGATGAAAAGGATCTGCCAAATCAAGTGAAACCTGTGTCTCTCTGGATTTGAGGCCATAAAAAAGGTAAGAATTACAAATTGGGTAAGGAATCCCTTACCAAGGGAGAGAAAGTGTTGGGAAGTTGTAGGAGGGGACTAATGGAATGCAAGTAGCAGGGTCTATGGAGTGCGTCTGAAAGACTTGACAAAGGCTCCCTTCCATCAGGCAGGTGCGGCCCTGTGCCCCAGTGCAGAGACAGGCATCGGCCTTCAGCCTGGTGTTGCCATCCTTGTGCAGGGCACCAGCCACACAACCATAGCAAGTCAGAAGTTCCTGAGCTTTCACCTCTCAGTTCCTTGGGCAAAACGTTAACTTCTCCTCTCTGTACCTCAGTTTCCTTATCTGTAAAGTGGCGATTATAATAGTACCCACTTTGTAGGGTTCCTAAGAATTGAACAGGACAATGTATGTACAGGCTTAGTTCAGTGACTGGGAGGTAGAAAATGTTTAATACATGTCAACTCATCATTATTCTAAATTATTCTTCTATCAAGGAAATTCATGACTTCATTCACTCATTCATTCAACAGGTATTTGTGGAATGCCTACTAGGCATTTTGGTAAGCGCTGGGGGTACAACACTGCCCAAGCCAGACAAATCTGTGCCCTCATGAAGCTTATGTTCTCGTGGAGAAGACAGACAAAAATGTGTAAACAAATTAATAAATTCACATAGCGATGAGTGCCAACTAGACCATAAAACAGGGCAGTGTGTTAGAGTGATTGCACAGACAGGGTGAGGTAGGGGCTCAGTATTAGGTAGGAAGGTCAGGAGGAGTATCTGAGGAGGTGACATTTTAGCTGGGACCTAGGAGATGAGTAACAAGTCAGGGGAACCTTGATTCAGGCAGTGGAAACTGGGAATGCGAAGGCCTGGGAGCTGTTGTGGGGGAAGTTTAGAGTGTTCTAGAATAGAAAGGAAAGGCTCATGTGGCTTCAGCACCATGAGGGAAAGAGTCATGGTAGACAAAGTCAGAGATGTGTCAGAGATGAGGTCAGAACTCCAGCACAGAGCTTGGGTTTTGTCTGAACAAGATAGGAGGCCACTGAAGTATAGGAAGCTGGAGAGTGACATGATAATTTTTAAAAGATTATTCTGGTTGCAGAGAAGAAAAAAGAGTGGAAGCAGGGAGACCAGTTAGAGGCCGCAGAGAGTGACATCAGACACTCTCAGATCATTCACTGATCAAAATATGAAGGAGCCTACTATGTGCCAGACACTCTTCTAGGGGGTAGGGAGACTGTGAAAAACAAAGCAGACCTATGAAAACCATCCTTGTATACTTTCAACAAACACTGCTAGAAGTGAATAAGATAAGATATGGGGGACATGAACTGTTGGAATAATATTCATCCAATGCTTTATCTTTGGGTTTAAAATGGATCCCAAATAATAAATAGCATTTGGGAAGCTTGCTAATGGAGGTAAAGACAATTTAGAACTTCATCTCACAATATATACCAAAATAAATTCCACCTAGATTAAAGAGTCAAATTAAAATATAATCTAGAAGAAAATGTGGGTGAATATTGACTATTATAACATGGGAGAAATATAGTGAAAGTAATCAGATTGTGATCAATTTAATTACATCAAAAATCTTGAGGTTTAAAATTGAATAAGCCAGGAAATATATTCACTAGAAGTTTTCCTGTAATTGGAGCAACTTTCCTGGAGGACAATGTGGTGGGATATAGCATGAACATTAAATATGTTCATGCCCTAATGTTCATGCCCTAGTGGCTTTACTTTGTGCTTATTTTGGGTTTCCAGGATTTTATTTGTTTCATTTGATTTCCAGAATAATTTTCTTCAAAAGAAAAAATCTTCCATTACTGTGTTTCTTATAAAAACACAGAGAAAAATAAATAGCCCCCATAGCCCAGGTGGTGATAACTACCTAAATTTAGATATAGTGCTTAGGAAAAACAGATTTGTTTCCAATGATGATAATGATAGCAATAAGAAGAAGCACTGTGTATCATACTTTTGCTCATTGCTTTACATATAGCGCTTCCAATTCTGCACAGAAATTCTCTGTTTTACGCATGAAGTGATTGAGACTGAGAAGTTAAGAAACTCACCTAAGACAAAATCACTTGTAAGAGGAGGAGAATTTGAACCCAGGTCTGTGTGATGCTAAAGCCCAGAATCTCAGCAATTCCTTGTCAGATCATCTGTGCTGTGTCACACCTTCAGGCTTTTCACACCCCCTGACCTCAGGCAGGAGGGATCTTTCATGCCCCTCACTTCCAGGCCAAATGCTACCCATACTGCAGTCACCCACGCTTAGTCCATCAAAAAAGCCAGCTGAACCATCATGTTCCCGTAGTAGACTTATCAAAAAGATGAAAGAAGGAGGAGCATGCATTTGGAAAGAAAGAAAAAGACACTGGACAAGAAGAAGGGAGGAGGCTGGTTTAAATAGTGAATAATACATAGCATCTATATGCAAATCAGGAAATTGGTATGCAAATACAAATCCTTCCTGGGTTAATTTATAATCAGTAGGGCAGGCAAATGGCATCAGAGTCTAGAGGTGTTGGATCCCCATCTAAGAGCCCCAAAGAGCAATGGCACCTTCCACAAACCTTGTTTTGGAATTCCTTCAATGCCAACTTATAATGCTGCATTATCGTACCAAATGACTTGGAGCTTTTGGAGATGAAGAGCAGCATGTGGTTCAGGATGTTCAATTCGTAAATCAGATCCTTATTCTGAAATTACAAGGAAAAGAGGTCATTCTATGCATACAGCTGCCCCAGCTCCCCTTCTCCCAGGGTCTCTGCTCACTGACCTCAATGTTGTATTCAATAACAAAATCTGTGAGGTGCTCTTTTATGACTTGACTGAGGACTTGTTTGTTGGTACTGTCATAAATAAGCTCCTGGCGTTTCACAATTTTTCCCTTGGACAAAAGAAGAAAAACATTGGAGGGTGGTAGCTTCCATAATGTAGGCACTTAGTAAATATGAATAACACAAATTTCCCCTTGGATAAAAGGAACACACCATGGTGACAAGTATAATCCATAATCTAGGTACTTAATAAATATGGATGACTGGGTAGATTAGCCTGTGGATAGGATATGGGAATGTGGCAGCCATGAAAATCTCCTATCCACAAAGACAGGGAGTGTGACTGACAGCTGCGGCTGCCTTGCTCTGAAATCCATCAACATATTCATGCTGATGCTGAGCGGTTTCTCACACACTGCTCCTAACAAATAACTGAACGTGTCAGGGATACTATTTCTGAGAGACGCAGGACTTGTCTGATGATGACTTTGACAAACTTTCTAAGAACTTCACTGCAGTCGAAGACTCTTTCACTCAACCTTCTTTCCTTTTGAAGGGTCAGACCTACATCCTGGCCTGATGGCTCTCCGAGTCTCCCTCAGCATCCTCTCTGTTTTCCTTCACGGGCATTTTCCCTAATAAATCTTTGCATGTCTGATCCTATTTGGTGACTGCTTCTTGGAAAGACCTGAGGACTAACACAGGGAATGATATAATTCTCTGTAGCCCAGGATCAAAGTTTTGGGGGAAGGAGAAAGAAGCAGCTATCTGCTAATTTCCTTCTACTCTATCTCCTTCTCTTCATCTCCACCAATCCCATCCTGTAGTCCAAACCTCCTCCACGACTCCTGCAAAAGTCTCCTGATGGTCTTCCAACTTCTCCCCTTGTTTCTCTCCAATGCATCCCCCACACTTCAGCCAGATTGATGATATTAGAACGCAAATCTGATCCTGTCATTCTCTTGCTTAAACACTTCATAGCCCCCATTGTCCTCTGGATAAAGTCCAAATTTTTCTGGTCATAACAATAGTCTAATAATACTAATTAGACTTATTGAGAGCTCATGTTGTACCAGCCACTGTTCTAAACGTGTGATATGCATGAACTCATTTAATCTTCATGACATTTCCTTGAGCTATATATTATTATTTCTCTCATTTTAGTTGAGGAAATTGAGGCACAGAGAAGTGAAGTGACTTGCCCAAGTTTGCTAAGCTCATAAGAGATGGAGCCAAGATTCCAACCCAGACAGTCTGATCTAATGCTCATGCTTTTAACCATTAAGATAGACCAAGTCTCCCCCCAAATGCCTGATCCGAGTTTGCTGTTTGGCTTTTGATTTTGTGATGGGGTTTATTCTGCAGAACTTTTAAATTTTTATGTGGCCCAAGTTTATCAGTAATACTTTCGATAGTTTCTAGGGTTTCTGTCATGCCTTGCAAAGGGGCTTTCCCATTCCAAGTTTAGAAAGCAAACTCTCCCATGGCATCTTCTAGTTTTTACATGGTCTCATTGTTATATTTTTAAATCAGAGATCAATCTGGAATTTAATTCGATGGAAAGAGTGATATATGGATTTAGCTTTAGTTTTTTTTTTCTTCCAAATGGCTACCCAGTTCTCTTAACACCAGTCATTGAATAACACAGATTTTTCCTGCTGATCTAAAATATCATCTTTATCATATACTAAATTTCCAAATGTATCTGGAACTATTTCTGGATTCCACGTTGTCCCGTTCAAAAACACAAATCAGGTTGTTCTCCAACTTAAAACTTTTCAATAATTTCCGTGGGCCCAAGTGAAAATGAAGTGTGTCACAGTCTTCTCTGAATGTCAAGCAGATCTGGATGTCACTCCAGCTGCCTCCTATATGGCCTTGGGCAAGCAACCTAACCTCTTTTAACCCACGTCTCTCAGTAACATGGTTATTGTAAGGATTTGGCTTTGTGTGGGAGGGAGGAAGGCATGTTTCGGGAACCAGACTACAGTATCTAGACTAACACTCTTCAACAGAACTTTCTGTGATGATAGAAATGCTCTGTAAATCTATGCTATCCAATATAGTAGCCTTTATCCACATGTAGCTAGTTTGATCAAGGAATTAAAATTTTAATTTAATAAATCTTGATGTAAATGGTCACATGTAACTAGCAGCTGCCATATCGGACAGCTCAGATCTAGAAGCCAGAGAGGGAGAGGAGGAAGGTGTGTAATAGAGGCTAGACTGTGGAAGGCCTTGTGGGCCTCTTTAGGGACTTGAGTCTTTATCCTAAGAGTAACAGGAAACCATTAAAGATTTTCAGTGATAAGGAGGAATGTGACCATCAGATTTGAATTTTAGAAAGTTTACTCTTTAGAGGACAAAAGAGAATGTGGCATGTTGCATTAGGGTGGATGCTGCATCAGTTTGTGGGAGATGATGGTCCCTTGACCTAGGATGGTAGCAGTAGAGAGAAACGGATAGATTTAAGGGATATTTTGGATTTAAAATGAGTAGGATTGGGGTGGTGGATTGGTTGTGAGGGGTGACGAGGGAGGTGTTAGAATGATGCCTGGGTGTTCTGACTTTGCTCAGATGGGAGATAGGAGAGATGGTGGCACCATTCATTGAGAGAGAAATGCTGGGAACAGATTTGGAGGAGAGATTATGACTTTACTCTTGGCCATCTTGAGACTTCTGATGATAGATATAAAAGTCGGGAGATTAGAGAATTCTGGCTGGAGATAGAGATTTGTAAGTCATGGGTGTATGGATGGTAATTGCTGATACAGGGTGTGAAGGGGGTGCATGGAGCAGAGTAATACACAGGGCAGAGGATTAAGCCTTAATGAATTATGTTTACTGGTTAAGGAAAGGAGGAGCAGCTTACAATGGAGAATGGTTGGAAAGGCCAGAGAAACAGTGGGAGAGTGATTTTGCAGAAGGCACTTAGCTCACAGGTGGAAGAAACAGAATTGGTACCCTAGCCCTTCCATACATGCGTAGTCCACTGTTTTGAACTAGAGACCGCTCACCAGCAGTAGGGTCAAAGTCCTACCTTTTTGAACACCAGAACACTGTCCAGGGGGACGTGGAAACGCCCAATGGCATTGCTAATTGATGTCACTCCAAATGTCAGCTCTGGGAAGTCTTTGATCACATCGTAGAACAACTCCGCTACTTCTTCCTCTAAATCCTGTTTGGGGAAGGATGTTTGGTGAGGCTTTGGTAGGAAGCAGAATGCCTGGCTTTTTTAAGGGCAAGGCAGAAATGGTGACCAATTCATCTCCCCTCCTTTCCAAGTTCTGGTATTTTGCTGGGTCACCTAAATCCTCTTCTCTGGCTATGACTGAGGCCAAAATAGGCAAATTCACAGAGAAGAATGGAGAGAATTGATAAACTTGACCTTTTCTGAATAGAACAGTGTTGGATGTTCTAACATGGGTTGAGATTTTTAAATGTTTATCCTGTTATTGCTTTCAGAAGAAGCAATTGATTTGACCACAGGTGATACCAAATACAAACTTGGTATCAAGACATGGCTGTCGTTTCAGCCTTCATTCTTTAGCCTGAAAGAAAATTGGGACTGAAAAACGCTGTCAAAAAGTGGGATGGGAGAGAAAGAGGCACATACTCTCCCCATGTATAAATATAACGCCAAAGTTCTAACTTCTACTGAGAGAAGCAGTGAAGTCATCAGATTACGGAAAATGAATTAAGACGTGTAAGAAACTCATTCTCCAAAAGGAAAAACAATTTGCAAATTATTTATTATTCAGTCATGTTCTAAATGAACCCCAAACGTTCCGTTACACTATCAAAACCAATTCAATGAATATGTCAGTCTCCTCTCCTCTCTCTCCATTCCTCTCCACTTTCTAGTTAGCTTCTCCTACCACTTCAGCTTCCATTTTTTCTTTATTCATTTTAACTGTGCAGTTCCCCCAGAAAACCAGCTCAGTGGGAAAGGAAGAATGGGCCTGCAGTTAACTCAAATAGACCTCTCCTCCCACCACCCCCATCCCAGACACAGGTCTCTTCACCAGTCAAAAAGGCCCCTCCCACCTCTTGAACCCAGTACCTGGAAGAAGCCAATGATGACCAAGGGCCTGGATTTCACAAATTCTACCACCTGCTGGGTATCAGTGAACAAAAATGCTTTCTGGCTAATTTGTCTTCTCAACCAAACAACCAAGGCAGTAGATTCAACCACTCCTGGAGAGAGATACAGTTAAACGGATCCCAAGGAAGTTTCCTCTTGAACTGGAGCAAGGCCTGTCTTCCCCAGGCTTAATGAGTAGAAGCATCTTGTCTTGGGCTCCCACCCCTGGAAGGCCAAGTTCAGTTCTTCCACTCTCCCCTCCCCCACGCTCAAGCTCCATGGCATGAACATTAACAGCAGCCCCTAAACTGTATTGAGTGCTTACCAAGGACCAGGCACGGTGCTGAGAGTTTTGCACGTATCCCATCCCCAGAGCAACTCCGCAGGATAGATATTCTTACTCTCCTCATTTTGAAGGTGAGGCTATTGAGGCTCAACTTGCCAGTGGCCACCCCTCCAGCAAACCTGGGAATCAGACCCAGGAGGAAGCATGCCCAGCCTTCTTTTTTTATATACTCTCCAATGTGACAGGAAGATGGATGTATTTTTAAAATATATAAGTAAATAGAATGTAAATTAAAAGACTAGCTAGCTCTGTGACCTTGGGAAAAAAATTCCTTTATCTCCCTGTGCCTCCAATTTCTCAGCTGAGCCACAAATGTCTGCTAAGGCCATAGATCTCAACTTCCATTTCTCAGCTATCATGTGGGAGGTGCCAAGCACACGAAAGTCTTAGCTTCTGAAATTGGGGCACATATAGCATATCTGGGGAGACATAATGGTGGGCCAGAATGTGCACAAGACTACAGATGGACTGTGTTTGCCAGGATCCTCAATTTCACGTGATGGCAGGTAATGTAAAATATTATTTTATATTAAAGCCTGCTGTAGAATAGAATGGAACATTTGAAATGAGTTTATGAGATAAAGCAATGTGTGTTGTGAGGAGATTTGGACCACACGTGCAGGCCTTTACTCCTGCACTCAGTCATTCATTCCTTCACTCGTTCGTTCATTTGACAAATGTGCATTGAGGGCCTATTATGTTATCAAGTGCTGTGCCACTGTTTTGCAGCTCTTGTTCTGTTAAGTAGGCAAATCATCAAATAATTACACCAACAAGTGTATAAGTACACCTAAAGGAAGTAGTCAAAAGCAAAGTTCTGTGAGCCTGTAGCAAAGATACATGACCTAGACTGTGAAGTCAAAGAGGGCTTCCTGGAGGAAGTCACTTATGAGTTGAAAACTGGAGGATGCATAGAAGTTAATCAGGAGGCAATAAGGAGAGGGGAAGGCTGCCAGGCAGAGCAAACAGCTTGTGCAAAGACCCTGGAGGAGGACAAATTTCTGCATGGGGCTTGGTGAATGCACACTGAGTTGGTAAATCAGCTGGGAAGGACTCTATTTTCAATGTCTTTGCTTACACCTCCTAAGAACATTAGGCCATTTTTAAAACTTATAATGAAGTACATTTACATACAGAAAGGTGCACAAATTATAATGTATAGTTTGATGAATTTTCACAAAATGAACACATCAGAGTGTTGACGTGTTCAAAATGAACATTACTGCCCTGATCAAGAAACGGAACATTATCAGTCCCCCAGAAGTCCCAGCCGGGCCTCCTCCCAGCCCAGCCCACCTCACCTAGGGGTAACCAATATCCTGACCTCTAATGGCATGCATTAGTCAGCCCGCTCTTGCACTTCATGTAAATGGGATCCTACAGTGTACAGTGTGTGTTTTGGGGTCTGGCTTTGTTACGTTTGTGAACGTCATCCATGTTGTTGCGTGTCCTCGTAGATTCTTTCCCAATGCTGTGTAGCATTCCATTGTCTGAATATTCCACAATTTATTTATCCATTCTCTGTTGATGGGCATATGGATTGTTTCAGTTTGGGGTTATTAAGAATTAATTCTTGGGGCCAGCCCAGTGGCGCAGTGGTTAAGTGCGCATGTTCCGCTTCTGTCGGCCAGGGGTTGCCAGTTCGGATCCTGGGTGCAGACAGGGCACCGCTTGGCACGCCATGCTGTGGTAGGTGTCCCACAGAAAACAAAAAAGTAGAGGAAGATGGGCATAGATGTTAGCTCAGGGCCAGCCTTCCTCAGCAAAAAGAGGAGGATTGGCAGCAGTTAGCTCAGGACTAATCTTCCTCAAAAAAAAAAAAAAAAAAGAATTAATTCTCATGCATGTCTCTGGGGGCACATTGTACCCACTTCTGTTGAGCACATGCCCAGGAGTGGAATTTCTGGTCATAGGAGATGCTGTATTCAGCTTTGGTAGATACAGATTAGTCCATTGTAAAAGCCACAGTGAGTCAGGCCTATAGAAGTTCATTGGAGGAGGATGTGATGGCCTCAAGGGACACAGAGGGCTGGCGAGGCTTCATGCCACCCTCAGACCATGCCACTCCGCCCCACTGCAGTCACCCCCTCCAAGTGGACTCCAGCCGCCAGGTTGAGTTTCTATTTTCACGGTGTTCTGAGCCAACTTTCAGGAAGAAACAGGCACAGATCATCAAAACAAACGTTCTCTTATAGGCTTTTGTCTGAAAAAATTATGTTGTAAGTGCCCTGAAAATAACTTGTTTAACAATTCTGAAATATCAAAAAAGGTGAACAAAACCCCTCCAAACAGGTTAGAATTTCAGGTCATCAAAATCATTGCTCTGTTCTCACTTCACACTGCTCTCTCCCTCTGTCTGAGCTCCCGCCACACCCTTACCCTCCAGCACACCAGGCTCTGGCACCCACCAGTCCCTCCGCCTGGGCTGCCCTTTCCTCAGCTCTCAAGGGCATCTCCTCCTGCTTATTCAGTTCTCAATTGGTCTTAACACCCTTCTTGTCATTCTCTATTTTATGACCTTTTGTATTTTCTTCGTTGAGTCTGTCTCTTTCTGAAATTATGATTTTTGGCTAACTTGCTCAGTAGCTCCTGTAATGTCTGACCCATACTTGGTGCCCAAGAAATAATTATTGGATGAATGGATGGGTTGAATGAGTCATTAGAGAAGCCAGCCTGAAGGAACTTGATCTTGGACTCTCTTCTCTGGAATGCATGAGTTCTGTTTGCCCTGCTAGACCCCATGGGACTGAGGTAGCTCTCAACTTGGCATATGGTTTGTCCCTGAGTGCCTGCAAATTGAGAACTGCCCCTGTTGGGCAGGTGCCTCTCCTGGCACTTGGCTCTGAGCCAGAGGACACGGTGACAACCAAAGTGTGAACACTATGTCCATGATTAACTGGGGCTGTCGCTCTGCTGCGTATTTCCAGGCACAAGCTGTGAATGCGTCATTAACTGAGGACCTGGAGGCCACCTGATTCTCCCTCCCACCAGGGAGATGGCCAAGGCCAAGCTCCCACCATCAATCCACGGAGGTTAGAGGACAGGGACTGTGGCTTTGACCCAGCAAGGACTAAACTCCACCTGCCTCCTAGGGAGGTTTTCATAAAAGTCACAGTGCAGGAAACCAGTAAAGCACTGTCGTCCCTCTCAGCTCAGGGAAGCCCTGTCAAGTCCGCCGAACTGGCACTGTTCATCCTGCTTAGAAAATGAGAAATTGGAAGGCTGGCTCAAGTTCTCACAGCTAGTGCTTGTGCTGAATTCCAGGCCCTGGCTCCTCCCAGCATCCCGCTGTCTCTTTCCCTGGTGGGTGGTAACACTGAGGAAGAAGGGGGATGGGCAAGCCCAGCAGAAATATGGGCTGGCTTCTTACCCCATGCCTGCCTGCAGTGGGTTCCTGCAATTCTATCCCATTCAAACTAAAAAACCATTCCTTAAGAACCTAAGCATTCCAGGCACTGGACCAGGGTCAGGAAACTAATAGTTGATGATAATAATAACCATATCTGCCATTTCCTTAGAGTGCAGCGCAATGTAGAACAGGGGTCAGTCAAGTGCAGCTCATGGGCTAAATCTGGCCTGTCAAGTGATTGTCTAATAAAGTTTTATTGGAACACAGCCACGCCCATTTGCCTCCGTGTGGCTACTTTCACACCGCATCAGCAGAGTTAAGTAGTTGCGACAGAGGTTGTCTGGTCCATAACCCTTAAAATATTACCTGGTCCTTTACAGAAAAGATTTATGGATCCCACTGCTTATTAGCTGGGGAGACTTGAGGAAGTTATTCCACTCCTCCATGCCTCAGTTTCCCCAGCTGTAAAAGCATCTCCTACAGTGGGTTGTTTTGACATGTGAGAAGGGACTAGAACAGTGCCTGGAATACGGTAAATGCTTCTGATATGTGTCGGAAATACATATGCTTGTGCTTTGCAAACTTATTTCATCTTCCCAGTAACCCTAGGAGGTAGATGCTTTCACCATCCTCACGTTACAGATGAGGACATCGAAATTTGACAAGAAGAAGTGGTTGTTCCTCTTGGAACAGTGGTACACAGTGTACAAGTGGTACTTAGTAAGGATTTGAAGCCAGGGAGCATCTGCCAGTTCTGGCAGGCTCTTCGGAGGACCCAGGAAAGGAAGTGAGATCCTTGCCCTTGTTGTGCTCTCAGGCAGGTAGACGATGAGGAACAGACGCAATTCTGTGAGGTGAGGGCGTTGATGGAGGAAGCTCAGGTGCTGGGGGACCAAGAAGAGGGGCAGGCACTCCAACCCGGGAAGTCAGAGAGGCTTCTTGGAGGGGGTGATACTGAAGCTCCCTCCATGGCAGAGGAGGTTCCAGGCGCTGATTCATACCACAAACAGGGCTCAGACAGTCTGGAAGTTGCCACATTGTCACCTTGTTGCCTCTAACTCTCACCTGTCCTTCAGGAGGTGAGGGCATCGCAGAACCTGAGCCACTTCATGAGCAGATATGGACTCTACCAAAGTGACCTGGGGCTTCTCATTTCTTCTCAGCCCTCCTCAAAGCCAACACTCACTAAGGGCTCCTTGCTTGGGCTCAGGGGGTCACCATCCTTGACAGTGGTCACTCAGTATCCGTAGGAAGCAGCAGTCTCTGTCCTTTCTCTCACTGCTCCTGCCCTCTCTCCCATCTCTTCTCTTACCCCCTGCACACGCCACCCTCACACAAGCCTACTGGGAGCCACAGCACTGCCTGGCCCTTTATGTCACCTGCCCTGAGGTTGGCCCTTTTGCAGCACTGTCCTCTGCAAATCTGGCCTGTGTGTCTCATGCCCCTTTGTGTCCATCCCGAGAACTGCAAGGCATGGAGCAGCCCATGCAGGAGATGGCTCTCCCCACCCCCACCCCTTTGGTTCCTGCAGTAACACTCAAACAGGCTTCTTACAAGCCTGCTAAATACCAGAGCTGCAAAAGGCAATCTCAGTTTCCTGAGATTCACTCATTCAATACGTATATAATGGGAACATCCTAGTCATGAGCCATGTGATGACATTTCGGTCAACAATGGACCACATACACAATGGTGGCCCCATAAGATTAGTACCATACAACCCAGGTGTGTAGTAGGCTATACTGTCTAGGTTTGTGTAAATGCACTCGATGATTTTCGCACAACCAATGGTGCATTTCTCAGAGCATATCCCTATTATTAAGTGACGCGTGACTGTACTAGCATAGTAGGGACTGTGCTGGGCACTTCTGTGTTCATCAGCTTTGTTCCATCCATCCACTGATTATACATACATTTATGCATTCATGTATTTAACATTTAAAAAGATAGGATGTACCATGTGCCAAACTGAGGCACATAATCCTTCAAGCATCCTCGGTATCAAGACCGGCTTGACACATGGTATGTTCTCAATAAAAGTGTGTTAAATAAGTGATTGAATGAGTTAATGAATGAAATGGATGATGACAGAAGTTAAAGTGTTTGGCAGTCACCCTGCCCCAAACCCATCTTGTTCCATCATCTCCCAGTCTCCCTTTGGGTTTACCAGTGCTTCCTTGGCCTAGGACCCTGTCAAAACCATTCTAAAGTAGATCAGGGCGGGGTCTTGGAGCTGGAGGTAGGGACTTACTTTCTGGTTTCTGGTAGTTTGTAAGCCATGCACCTCACTCTCCCATCTCTAGGGCCCACCAGCTGAGATGCAAGCTGTGGTGAAGGCAGCTACATGTTCACCAAAATCTATTTTCTTTTCCTTATGGACACAGAGCAGCATCATATTTTGCAGTTTTCAGTCAGGTGGGACCATGTAACAGAATTTTGGTCAATGGAATGAGAACTGAAGTGATGTTTGCCACTTCCAGGCCTGGGCCATGAACACCACCAGTGGCGATACCCTGTCTCCTTGTCCCCACTACTGGCTGGATAAAGAGGAAACAGCAGGGGGCTCAGAGGCTGTAGGGGAGGGCAGAGCCACAAGCTGGAAGGACCCTGGGTCCATGAAAGACTGTGTGGAGCAGAGCCCTCACCTCCACCCTCTGGCTGCCATCTGGGCTTTGTGTGGCAAGAAATAAGTGTGTAATTGTGTTAAGCCCCTGAAATGCTGGTGTTTATGTGTTTCCTTGGCTAGCATTACCTTGACTGATGCCCGCGTACCATTACCTTTGCAGCTGATGGGCTCTGATCTATTCCCCTCAAAAAACAGCTTCAAATCTGGGGTTGTCTTAATGTCAAACTCCTTCTGAAGTTCTTTCTCGATGGTGATGTCCACTTTGCCAAAGCCGACCCCGTTCTTGCCTTTGCCCATGATCTCCACAGCTTTGCCCAGCTCCTCAGCCATGTTCCTGGATTGCTTCGAGGATGGGTTGTCTGAAAGAGCCAGTGTGAAGACAGAACTCGCTAGAGCCTCACCCCCTCCCCCTCTCCCAAGGAGGAGGCTTTGTTTGGTCTGCTTAGCTCCTGGGCCTTTCTCGTGCTCTGCTGCTAATGGGTAAATTTTCAGAAGAGTGACAGGATGTGAGACACGAGATTCATGGAATTGGCCAATTTGGAAGACACACATCAGGGTTCTTTGGGTTCAGCAACACTGGGCAACTTTGGGCAACTCACTCAATCTCTCTAAGCCCCACTTTCATCACAGGTAAAATGGGGAAAATAATAGTGGCTATTTCATGGAGTTGTCAGAGTTGAATGAGATGTATTTAACAACGAGTGATATAGTGCTTATGATTTTCTAAGAGCTTTGCGTGGATTAAGTCACTTAGTCCTCCCAGTCCTCCTATGGGGTGGGTGTTGTTGTTATTATCTCAACTTTGTAGATGAGGAAACTGATGCACAATGAAATGACCTGCTCACCTGAGGCCATGTGGCAGTGAGGGGTATAGCCAGGATCCAGACCTGCTCAGCTCTCTAACCTCACTGGGTCTGTAAAACCCTTAGCATAATGCCTGGCATGTAGTAAATACACAATGCATTATTATTACTACAGACATTATTATTGTGAAATTTCCATGGTAAGAAATTATATGGAAGAGAGAGAGTTTGGGGGGGGGGGGGGGGCGGGGGTTGGGCGAGAGAGAACAAGAGAGCGTGGGTGCCATCTGGTGGAGAGTTCTGGAGCTAACAGGCCAAATTGGGCCCCGCCAGTTGCCCTGTGGCTGCATATAATGTCAGGTGACCCTCAAGTAGGGAAGGCCAGGTGTGGGAATGGTTGAGGTGGGGGGAGGTTATGATGCCCCTTACCCTCTCTGAGCCCATCCCCTTGGGGAGAGCATTGAAGAGACCTTGACATTCTCGATTAAGATTCCTTCACCCCTTACATTGCTGAGCCAAGTGGGGTGGGGGTAAGAAGGGGGAGCCCTTTTCTGGAAACAGCCTCAGGGAGCTGGCTCTTGATCCTGGCAGCGGGAGAGGCCTTCCTGGTCTAAATGGGAGGGGATCAAATGGCTCTCAAGTTTGCCTGCCTTCGCCGGATAACACTGTGAGTCTGCAGGTCCCTCTGCTGGCCCAGGATGTCTGCCGCATGTGGACCAAGCCAGGACGAGGGGTCACTGATTCCCTTTCAAGCAAGAACACTTTATCTTTTTCAAGCCCCCTTGTCCATCTGGAGCACTTGGAGAAAGTACAGAATACCACCACTGCCATGGACAAGTTCCAAGTCCAACAGAGAGGTCTTTTGTAAAGGACAACCAGAAAGCTGGCCCCAGCAGGCACACGCCCCATTGCCAGTCAGCATACCTGCTCCTGTGACGGAATCCGAAAGTGAAGGATAATTTTCGTTAAACCCTTGATCAATGGACAGGAAGAGGGATTTTTCACTGATCAGTTCCTCTCCACTGCCTGCTCTGTCACCCTCATTGCCTTCGATAGCCACCATCCATCACTCCAGCAGGGGCTGTCCTGTGGCTGGCCACCAGCTCTGGCCCTCGGGGCTCTCCCTGGCTTCCTTGTGGATTCAGTCATGCCCTGCTCAGGGTTGCTGATTGACAAAGCATCCAAATCTGAGTTTCTAAGGGAAGAACCTCAGAGCAAGACAAACACTTGGAGTGATTGTCCAAATGGTGGGGCTTTCAGAGGTGCCACACCTAACCCTGAGCTCCTGGGTGTCCGAAATGGAAGTGAGAGAAAGGTGTGACAGCTGGAATGCTGGGACCTGAGAGCTAAATGGATGGGACCTAACACTAATAGTAATGAGGATTCATTCGTTCATTCATTCCTTCAACAAATCTTTTTTAGGATCCACCATGCGCCAAGCACTATGCTAGGTGCTGGGGATTTAACAATGAACAGATCGATAAAAATCCTGTTCTCGCTGGAGAAGGCAGAAAGTATACAAAATAAGGAAGTAGAATCTATGCCACGTTAGATGCTAAGTGACGATGCTCTAGATGCTCTAGAGAAAGAAGCAGCAGAGCTGCAGGTTGGGAGTGTCAGGGGAACTGTGAGAGCAGGCAGGGAGGCCAAAGGAGGCCTCACTGGGAAGGAACGGTTTAACAAAGACTGAAGGAGGTGAGGGAGCAAGCTATGCGGAAATCTGGAGGGAGAACGTTTCAGGCAGAGGAACTGTAAGTGCAAAGGCCCTGAGGTGGGAGTGTGGGGGACATGTTTGAGACATGACAAAAAGTCCTCTGGGCCTGGAGCAGAGTGAGCTGGGGTGGGGGTCTATAGTATAAGCCCTGATAGTTGGGGATTTTTCTCTTGTTTATAATGCAAGTGTCTGACTTAAGCTTTGATTGCCAAGGCATTCATTTCAAAGAGGCATCCACTGCAAGAGGACTATCTGGAATAAACACATTGCCTGCCACACACTAGGTAAAGAACCAGGCTGCCTGCCCCACTGAGTGAGGCCCCTTGATTCAGAGATCTTGGTTGATTTCAATAATTGATCATTTGGGCCACTTTTTTTCTCTCTCTCTCTCTCTCTCTTTCCTGTGCTTTAAATTCCTGCTCTTATGTTTTAAAGTCACCAATAAAGAGTGAGCCCAAAAACCCCAGGCCCCCACCCTCGACCCTAGTAAAAGCAGAACCCCAGGCCCACGCTCTCTCTCTCTCTCTCTACCTGTGACCTCACTGTTTGGCCTCAGATGTGCTGTGTAATTTCCGGGTCTTATAAGTAACAAAATTCTATTTTTTCAAACTTTCCTGATGGTTATTGGTCTTGCAATCATAATCAGAACCACAAGAGCCAGTCTAACAGCAACATTGGTTACTGATGGGCTGGGACCAGCACACAAAAGGGTCAAATGACGTAGGGCCTTGCAGGGCACTGAGTGGACTTTCCTCTGAGGGCTGTGGAAAGGGACTGGAGTGTTTGGAACAGAGGTAGATGCGATTTGACTTACTCTTTAACTGGATTGTTCTGAATGTTATATGGAGATTAGACTGAAGGAGAAAAAGAGTGGATCTAGGTAGACCAGTTGGAGGCCACGGTGATAATCGAGGTGAGAGACAGTAATGGCCTGAATCAGGGTAGTGGCAGTGGAGGGGGTGAGAAGTGGTCAGAGTCTTGATTGACTTGATTGACATTGAACATTCAATGAATGATTGAATGTTCCAGTTATCAGGGCAGTTTTGTAAGAGGGATTGAGCACCAATTTTGGTGTCAAACTTGGTCTAAAATCTAAGCCTCATCACTTATCAGTTATGTGACTTTGGGCAAATTATCCAACCTTTCTGAATCTTATTTGCTCTGATGTAAGATGGAAGCAATGAGACCAAGCACAGTGCCTGGAATGCAGGTCTCAGTAAATGGCAAAGTCATTATCATCACCATTGTTGTCATTATCATCATCATCACCATAAGTATCTTCATCACCATCCTCATCCACATAACTATCTTCATCATCATCACTCTCATTGTCTCACCTGCTCCCAGAGCAGAGTCTTGCTGCCTCTGCTTTAGGGACAATTACTAAATGATCCTAGACATTGCTCCTGATAAATCTCATTTTGGCTTCTCCCCTCTAAATGTATTCTTCCTTATTCTCCTTGTCTCATTCATGGAGAACATTATGGACCAAAAGAAAGCTCATTTCATTCACTCATTCATTCGTTCAGCTTCTCTCCAGGCCTGCCATTCTCTAAGCACAGGACCAGATGTTAGGAATCAGGAGATGAATAAGATTTGGCCCCTGTGCCCCATGGAGCTCACAAGTTTAACAGCAGTTTCAATGCAGTGTGGCAAATGCTATGAAAGGAAGGGTGCAGAGGGCTGTGTGAGCACGTGGGAGGACCTCCTAGCCCGACTAGGTGGGAGTGAAGGTGAACACAGACTCCTGACAAGGTGACTCCATGAACTTAAGCCTCACAATCCAGGTGAAGAAGTTCAGGAAGGACACCATGGGCAGAGGGAACTGTAAGTGTAAAGGCCCTGAGGCCCGAGTCAATGTGCCCTATCTGGTAACCACAAATCACTGAGGGTCTAGACCATAGAGTTCAAGTGGAGTGAAGAGGTAGGCCTAGGTTAGCTCCAGCAGAGGATGTTGTAGCCACGTTAAGGAGTTTGGGGTCTTAGAGAATCTTTCAGGGTTTTTAATTAGGGAGTGACCCAATCAGATTTGCATTTTAGAAAAAAATATCTCTGGGAATACTGTAGAGACAGTGCTGGAGGGGAAGGGAGACCATCTAGAAAGATGCTGCAGTGGATCAGATGGGGAATGATGAGGCCAGAACTAAGGCAGTGGCTGGGGGAAGGGGGAAAATTGGTGATTGCAGAGGGCTTTAGGAGGCGGTATCAGCAGGACTTGGTGGCTGATTAGAGATGCGAACAGAGAGGAGTCAAGAGTGACCTTGAGACTTCTGACTTTGACATTGGGTGGATAGTGGTGCTGTCGGTAAGGCAGGACGTAAAAAGAAGCAGGTTGTTGAGAGTGAATCAAAGACGCTGAGGTCTATTTTTGACACGTGGCCTTTGAGACAAGTGAGGGACATCCAAGAGGCAAGGTCCTGCTGACCATTGGCTCTTGAGCCTGGAATCCTCAGAGAGATAAGAAACTGGGCAGCAGCTAAGGATCTGAGAGTTACCCGGGCAGTATTTCCCTGAGGACAAGATTTGAAAAATCCTTTCTGTAAAGAGCCAATCTTTCCCTGGAAAAAAGCTATTGTAATGCTTTCCCCAAGTAATTACCTTTTCCACAGGTCACTCTAGAAGGCCTGCCAGTTTTTGAGAACTCATTTTGATTTAAACTGTGTATTGGAAGGAATCAAATATTCAAAGGTAATGAGTTTGAGTGTCTCTTCTAGATAACAAAAATGCTGCTGGTGTTCACTGCTTTGAAATACCCTCTGGTTGGAATGCTTTAAGTTCAAAGAATTCAAATGGGTGGTTATCAAATGCAATTAAAGAATGTAAAATTGAGAGGCTCCCTGTGCAGCCCCAGGTTCAATCAGCATCAATCCCTAAGTTATAAGACAACAGAGCCACGAACTTGCCCTTCTGCCCCGATTAAAACAGAGTAATCATTGGACAGTCTCGCATTCTCATGCAGACGGGACAGGTTCCCAGTCTTGTCCACCTGCTGTGCCATTTTTGGAAGGCTAAATGTGTGTGGAGACGTGGGTTGTGTTGTGCAAAGTGCGTGGCTCTAAATCCTTTAACACCCGCATTGGGTCCAGGATTCAGAGATTAGGGCTGCGGCAAAAACGAGCAGCTGGCTTAGATGTCTGACCTGTGCACATCCTTAGCTTACAATTCCACCGCAGGCGGAGGAGGGCTGCAGGGTTCTCACTTCTTCCCTGAGAAGAGAGCCATGAAGCAGATGCTCAGGTGGTGGCCCGAGTCCTGGTGTGGATGGGGGCTGTGGGGAACCGGCTGGAGGAGTCGTTCAGCAAAGCAGACTGCTTGCCCTGCTCAGACTCTCGTAAAGAAAATGGCCCAAACTGGATCATTCCTGCAAGATCTTGCTCCATGGGCTTGAAGTAAAACTGAGCACATCCCCTGGCACTTAGGTCAAAGGAAACCATGAACATCCTGGGCTAGACAGAGGTCAGAGGCTTGCAACCATTTTGATGGAACTTTATGCAGTAGGCACGCTCCATGTTGGATGGAGGCAAAAATGAGCTGATCAGATTTTCCCTTCTGGGAGCTGTCAAGGTTAAGGGCATAAAGAGAATGTTTTTGTTCTCTGTTGGTATGAAGTGGCTGCGCAAGCCCGCTGAGGAGGCAGTGAGACCCAGGGCAAGTTGATGCTGTCACATCCTCAACTCCCCCATTGAAGTGGCATCGCTCACAGAGAAGGTATCAAATGAGAAGAGACAAGAGTCGAGGAAGGAGTGGGAAGGCCTGAATTTCAGGCAGTGGACACAAACTTGAATGTGCTGGGATGTGGCAGGGGTGTGCTATGTGGGGGTGGCTGGATAAGGAAACTGACAAGCGTGGTTTCTGACCAAGAGGGGACATCATTACTCAGCTCCAGCCAATTATCACGTGGCAGGAATGTGAGCCAATGCTTCCTGGTTTTTTTAAGAACAGATGTACATTCAACTTTAATTGTGACATGTCCCCAAATAGGGACATGAATAGTGCCACCACACTGGGTTGTCGTGAGGATTCAATGACTTCACATTTAATGAGCTCCAAAGGACAGTGCCCCACACACAGTGAGGGCTTGCTGTGTGAGAGCTGTTATGAAAATCCCTCCCACCCTGTGCCAAGGCCAGGTCTGTGCCAACGCCTCAGGAAAAAGAAGCCTGTTCTTGCTGCCAAAGTGTCTGCTGAGGCAAAGAGCATCCGTCCAAAGAATGAAAGTGGGCATGCAAAACTCAGATGATAAAGGTGGTGGTCTAAAAATCTTTTCTCAAGAGCTTGCCCATAGCTGCCATCGTTTATTGCGCTCTATTGTGTTCCAGCAACTTATCATATGGTCTCATTTAATCTTCACAATAACTCAGTGTGGGCATTGTGTTCATGCCCACTTTACAGAGGAGGGAACTGAGGTTCCGAATGGTGAAAGACACGTGAGGGGAAAGCCTGGCTCCTTGCCTTCAGTGGGACAGAGGACCCACACAAATCGAGACTAAAGGGCAATGTAGATCTTGCAAATTGCTTGACCTCCCCGGACGTCAGTACTCTCTCTGGAAATAGGGATGATAAGATATTAACCATACGTGTTGAAGCCAGATATGAAACTCCTCTGGCCCCGGGAGCAAGGAGGTAGGTCTCAGCCCACCCCTCACCACCACCTAGTGGGTGGGGGACACTCACAGAAAAGCACCATGAGGAAGCGGGTCTGGTTCAGCATGTGGGTCAGGCCGGCAGGTGTGAGCACCAGCAGGTTGCGTTCCACCAGGATGTGCAAGGGCTGGGACGTGTTGATGCTGGCCTCCTTGACGTCCACCTCTCGTGAGCCCTGGACAGTGGAGGTACAAGAGGCCACCAGCAGCAGAGACATCCAGAGCCACTCCATGGCTGTCCTGCAGGGGCAGGAGGAAGGACAGGAGTCCTTATCAACATAGGTGGCGGGCCCCCATGTCTTCACTCCCTCCCCATCTCCTTTCCTGCTGGGCCAGTCCATGAATGGAGAACAGGGCCTGAGCATGGCCACTGCCTCCCTAGCAGTGCCCACAGCTCAGCAGCGGTGCTGGAGCAGAGGCAAAGTGTTACGTTAACCTCAGGGTCCATGAATACTACACAGGGGTAGTTCAGGCGGCAGGGCCCCACTCAGAGCAGCAGGAAGCTGAGTCACATGCTCACCACTCGAGGCCACTTTAGTCCCATTCCAGAGTCCTAGGGTGAGCCTCTGGATCTCAGAGACAACTTGTCCAATCCCCCATCACAACCTCTCCTTCATGCTTCTCCAGCTCCTGCTTGAATGCCTCTTTTGATGGGAAGCTCACTACCTCACAGTGTACCCCATTTGATTTTTGAACAGATTTCCCCTCAAGTACAAATATTTCTTTCAAAAGTCATCACCATAATATACACTTCTGAAAATTCCAAACAATACAATAAAAATGTGTTAAGTAGAAAATAAAAATCTCTCCCCTAATCCTACCACTGAGAAAGCTACTGTTAGTAGTTTGGAATGAATCCTTACAGACGATTACAAATGCCTATATGAGTGCAACTTTGAATGTACACGTTGAAACATAAATGGAATGAGGTATGTGTATCGTTCAGTGTTCCAATTTTCTTACGGAATCTTGTGAAATATGACCTAGATTCCTTCCCATAAGAATGCATATCAGATCTATAACATGATTTCCTTCCTCTCTTTTCCTTTGCCTTTAATTATCTATTTGACCATTCTTCACTATTCGAATGGTCTGGTCAGCAGCTGCCTTCCTGTGAGTTCCACTCTCTCTAATAACATATGTCTTTCCCAGCAAGTTAGAGCATAGAATCAGCTCCTCAGCTCTTGGCATGTTCTCCTCAAGCATAGAGCCATTTCCCCGTGTAGCATGCAGCCTACATGAGCGTCTCAAATAAGAAGACGGACAGCAGGTGTGCTCTAGGTCCCTCCTTCAGACAACTTGATAAGGACCTTAGCTTCTTTGCTGACTGCTGCATTTCTAGCACCTGGCATTTTGGTAGGAAAATCAATATGAATGAATGAATGAATGAATGCACACTTGATATTTACCTGGGAAATATGTTTGGCAGATTGTGTGAAGATTTTTTTAAAGTAGATCTTCTAACGTAATTTTTTGGCCTAGTATATAGAGAATTGTGACCAATTCTCAGTGCTAAATTTTATAAACACCTGTAGCTAAACATACTTGTCATGTACCAGACACTTCTAGTGCTTTCTGTGTCATCACCTCTCTTATGACAATCCTATGAGGTAGGTGTAGTACTATTATAATCCCCATTTAGTGAGCATAAAATGAAGCATAGAGAGCTTAAGTAATTTGCCCAGGGTCACACAGCTAACAGATGACAGAGTCAGGAGTTTAACCCAGGCAGTCTAGCTACAAAATCCATGCTCTTAACCGCAATGACGTACCACCTCTCTAGTGCCCCGCTGCAGAATGGATGCAGGGAACAATGTTTTGAGACATTAACTGAGGCTCCCATCCTCCCACCCTGGTATCCTTTAACCTCTCTCCACCATTCAACGTGGCATTCTGTCCTGCCTCAGAAGGGGAGGGCTGAGGCTGGCAATAGAGAATAAAATCAGATTTTTGGTTTTTGGTTTCAAAGCAGGCCTTTAAAAGTCATAGCAGGGGCAAGGCACTTGTAAGCCAGGGCTCAGATCGCAAGAACTGGGCAAAAGAAAGAAAGATGTTTTTGCTGTAAACTCTGGGTTTGGAAGAGCATGTTGTCAGAAGGAGCGGTTACCTGCCCCAAAGGAGATAAAGGCTTGCCTTCCCGTCAGGAGGAGGAGGATGGGGAAGAGGGGAGAGCCCTGATGCTGCCGGGGTCCTGAGAAAGGGGTCCCGCCCTCTGTCCCTTCTCCAGGCTGAAACCCCAGCCCCGTCTCTCTTCGCTCCCCATGGCAGCCCCAGTTCCCAGGGCCGGGCCTGCCCGCAGTAATAAATAAGTGACTGTGTATTAGGCCAGTATTGGAGCTTTACTCTCACCGTCCCATTAATCCTCACGGTGCGGCTGAGAGGTGGGTACAGTCATGGTGCCCACTTCACAAATGTGGAGACCCACCCAAGATCACCCAGCTGGTGGATGAAGGAGCATGACCTGGGCTCAGGAATATCTAAGCCCAGTGCCCATGGTCTACACCAGGGGTCAGCAAACTATGACCTGCTGCCTGTCCTTGTGAAGACCGTTATCGGATCACAGCCACGCCCACTCCTTTACTATTGTCTGTGGCTGCTTTTACTACAATTCCCAGTTACGTAGTTGCAACAGAGACTGTGTGTGGCCAGCAAAGCCAAAAATATCGATCATCTGGCCCTCTACAGGGAAAGCTTGCTGACCTCGGGTCTAAATCACCAGACCACGCTGCCCTCACGCCCGCACCTCAGATCCTGGACTTTGGCGATGTTCACAGATCCTCAGACTTGCAAAGCCCACCGTCAGAGTGTAGCGTCCCCATCTGTAGAATGGGTGAATAGTCCCTGCCTCCCAGGGTCGTTGTGAAGACATGATGATGAGCACTTCTTATACCTAGATGCACATGAAAATTCTCTCGGGAGCTTTTAAGACAATACTGATGCTTCGTCTGACCAGTTAATTCGGAATTGCTCAAGGTGGGGTCTAGATATCTGTATGTTCTGAAAGCTCCTCAGAGGATTCTTTTGTTCTCTTTTTTAACTTTCTATGTGGTTATTCTCTTTGCTTTCTCCAGTTCACTCCCCACACAACAGTTAGCAATTTCTCTTTTAAACGTAACTTAGATCACATTGCTGTCTTGTTAAGGGGTCCATGACTTGTCATCACGTGCAATCCTACCCTGTGCTGGGTTCTATCAGGCCCCACTGGCCAGCTCTGGACCCCACTGTCCTTTTCACAGCGCACCAGCCATGCTGGTCTCCTTCTCTCTCCTCAAGCACACCTGCCTCAGGGCCTTTGCCTCTGCCTGGAACACCCTTACCCTGCTCTTCAGCCTTTTCTGGTCATTCAGGTTCCAGTGAAAACACCAGCAACTCAGAGGGATCTTCCCAGGCTGCTCTGTCTCCCCCTGCCTCTGCTTCCAGCGTTCTCGGCCCCATGACCCCTGTTTGCTTCAAATTGTGTATGATTATTTTCTTTTTTTTCTAAAGATTGGCACCTGAGCTAACAATTGTTGCCAATCTTTATTTTTTTTAACGCTTTATCTCCCCAAATCCACCCTGGTACATAGTTGTATATCCTAGTTGCATGTCCTTCTAGTTGTGGCATGTGGGATGCCGCCTCAACATGGCCTGACGAGCAGTGCCATGTCTGTGCCCAGGATCCGAACCAGCGAAGTCCTGGGCTGCCACAGCAGAGCATGCGAACTTAACCACTCAGCCACAGGGCCAGCCCCCTGATTATGTTTTAGTGTACCTTGTTTATGTTTCTAAACTTTTTAATGCAAGTGCCTTTCTTCGTGGCTGTTTCCTGCCTCCTAGGACAATGCCTGGCCCAGATTTGGAGCTCAATTAATGTTTCTTGAATTAATTAATGAATAAATGACCTAATTTAATTCTCACACAAACTCCACAGTCCATTTCAGTGCTTCTCAACCATGACTGGTATTAGAATCTCTCAGGGAGCTTTAAAAAATTACTGATGCTCAAGCCCAAACCCGATGGATTCAGTTTCATTGGTCTGGGGTGGGGTGAGTCTGGGCATCTTTTTTTCTTTAAGCCCCCTAGGTGATCCTAATGTGTAGCCATTTAGGCTGAAATCCACACTTACATCTGTGACCCCCTTGGCAGAAGGACGGCTGCCGGGGCAGGGCCCGTCAGTCAGAATTGCCACTTCACTCAAGCTCATACCTGCAGGAAGCCTGGTTACTCTCAGGCCCACTGGGGCCCTACCAGGGCTGGGCCAGTAAACTCTGGGGCACTTGAGGAAGGAAGTCGTGGCCTGAAGAACAGGCTCCTGGTTCCCTTTGTGACCTGAGCAGGACCCGCAGGCAGCTGGGTGTTCTCAAGAAATCCAGAGGCAGAAATGGAGTCCCTTCCTGGACACACTGAGGCCACAGCAGCCTCAGCCACAGTGTTCTGAGTTCCGGGGTGCTGGAGGCCCAGGGGTGGCCCTGGGGAAGAATGGGCCATTGTTGAGTAAGAGGGGCCCTGCCCTGCCCTTGCTGAGAGGAGCTTGCCCATGGACAAAGGCGGGGGCTGGGGGTCACATGGAGGGCCAGAAACAAAACACCCTGGGGCACGGTGTGGCATTGAATGCTCCTGAACTCAGGCATATAGATTGGAATTTGAATCTCAGCTCTTTTTTTTTTTTTAATTGAAGTAACATTGGTTTATAACACTATTTAAATTTCAGATGTGCAGCATTATATTTCAACTTCTGAGTAGACTACATCCTGTTTACTGCCAAAAGTCTGGTTCCCGTCCGTCAACATACACATGTGCCCCTTTACCCCTTTCACCCTCCCCCCACCTCCCTTCCCCCTGGTAACCACCAAGCTGTTCTATGTATCTCTGTGTTTGTTGTTGTTGCTTTATCTTCCTCGTGTATGTGAAGTCATATTTGTCTTTCTCTGTCTGACTTATTTCACTTCACATAATACCCTCAAGGTCCATCCATGTTGTCACAAATGGCAAGATTTTGTCTTTTTTATGGCTGAGTAGTATTCCATTGTATATGTATGTACCACATCTTTATCCATTCATCATCAGTGGGCACTTTGGTTCTTTCCAAGTCTTGGCTATTGTGATAATGCTGCAGTGAACATGCGGGTGCATATATCTTTTTGAATTAGTGTTTTCATGTTCTTTGGATAAATACCCAGAAGTGGACCAGCTCTGTCCCTAAGCAGCTGTGTGGCCTTGGGCATGTCACTTATGCTTTCTGAGGCTCAGTTTCAGATGGATACAACTCGCAGGGGTGTTGGAAGAGTTAAAGGAGATGATTCGTGCCAAGTGAGCTGCTCAGTACCTGGAAGGCAGAAGCCCTGCCTGGCCTCACCCCCTAGTGATAGTCATCTACACAGCGTACACACATGTCATCATCACATTGTACACCATAAATATATACAAGTTCATTTGTCCACAGACCTCAATAAAGCTGGAAAAAATAAAAATAAAGTGTGTTTAAAAAATATATTGAACATTAGAAAGTGATACATTCTGAGGAGGAACATCAAGCAGGGAATGGAGAGTGTGAGGTGTCAGACGGGAGAGGCATCCATTCTTGGTTAGGGAGCTCGTTGAAGGCTCGCTGAGCTGAGACCTGGGGGTGGCGAGGCAGTGACCCCTGTGGGAGGAGCGTCCTAGCAGAGAAACCAGTGAGCACAAAGGCATGAAGAGCACTGCCTGGAGTCAGCTTGCAGGGCCACACAAGAGGCTTAAGATTCAGGAACTTCACAAGCTGGTTGTTAAAACTTTGTTAGCTTGAAATTGGCCATGGTGAGAAGATTTACTCACAGATATTGGTGAACACTATAAGGGGACATTTTTGTTTGTTTGTTTGTTTTGCTGAGGAAGATTCCCACTGAGCTAACATCTGTTACCTATCTTCTTCTTCTTTTTTTTTTTCATGCGAGCCACCACCACAGCATGGCCACTGACAGATGAGTGGTGTAGTTCTGCTCCTGGGAACCAAACCCAGGACACCAAAGCAGAGCTCACCAAACTTTAACCATTAGGCCATAAGGGGACCATAAGGCCAAAGTGGGGACATTTTTGCTGTTGTTCACAGAGAGCCAGTTTACCAGCAGCTCAGCTGCAGGCCAGAATTTCAAAGAACAGGCAGCAGGGAGACCAGTGTAGTTAGAGCAGATTGGGCAAGGGGGTGAGAGAGGAGTAAGAGCCGTGCCATTGGGTGGGACCCTGCAACCACCTCTCAGGACTTTGGTGTTGACTCTGAGTGAGATAGGGAGCCGTAGGAGGGTTCGTTAAAAAATAGCTTTATTTCGATATAATTTAATATCATAAAATCCACTCATTGTAAGTGTGCAGTAACTATTATTATTACTATTTAGTAAATTTACAAAGTTGTGCAGCCATGACCATAATACAAATTTAGAACATTTCCATCACCTCCAAGAGCTCCCTCGTGCCCATCTGCAGTCATCTCCCGTTCACGTGCACAACCAGAGGCAACCACCGATCTACTGTCTGTCTCTGTACTAGAGGGTTTGGAGCAGAAAGGAACGGGGTTGAACTTATATTATTGTCATGATTGTATCCTTCCTGTACAATATCATGAACTTTCTGTTCCCTTTTCAGATGAGGTGGTGGCTTGAATTTTCAGGGAAAACCTCTACCAGGTCCAGGACACTCACCAGGCACTGGAGCTGGAATTTAATCTCCCAGCCACTGTGAGCTGTGAGCAAAGCTTGGCTCACTGGGTCAAAGTGTGCCGGCCAGTTGAGGCCAGTTGAAACCACTGTGTCCTCCACTGGCTTCTGGCTCTGCCCACTCTTGGCTGCCTTTGGGGCCAAAGTTTCCCCAGGAGGCAGAGTCAGCAAATTGCCTTCCCCACCAGGAATATTTACAGGCCTTAAGGCCTGTGTTCAGCTGAAGCAGAGCCTAGAAGTCATTTGCATTTCCTGGGAACGACTAGAACAAGGTAATGCGGAGAGAAATCCTTCAGTGACATGTGTCAGCTGCTCCTGAGGCCCTTGCTGATTAAGCCAAGAAGGAGGCACGACTGAAATGGCCTTACTGGAGAAGAAGTCCTGGGGATTCTAATTATCAGCTGTCAAGGGGCCAGGGCATCCAAGGTGGGAGGTGAAGGAAAAGGCTGGGGTAGAATTCCAGAGAGGTGAGGAGTGGGGAAGGAGAGGCCAGGGGCGGGGAGTCTGAGGCCACAGGCCCCAGAGCTGGCGGCCAAGCAGAGGCTGGGGCCTAGCGCTTTTTGGGAGGTGAGACCTGGAAGTCACTTGTCCTCTCCAAGCCTCACTTTATTTATCTGTAAAGTGGGGAAAATAACACATCATAGAGTTGCTATAAGGATTTAAGGAAATAATGTTTATAAAGCACTTTCCAAATGTTTGGTATGTGTTAAGCTTTCTGTAAGTGGCAGTTATCATTGTTGTGACACATTCTTATTGTTGGTTATTGCGTTAGTCCGTTTGGGCGGCTATAACAAAAGTACCATATACCAGGTGGTTTAAACAACATTTATTTCTCCCGGTTCTGGAGGCTGGGAAGTCCAGGATCCAGGTGCTGCAGGCGGATTTGGTGTCTGCTGAGAGCCCACTTCCTGGTTCATAGACAGCTGTCTTTTCATTGTATCCTCACCAGGCAGAAGCAGCAAGGGAGCTCTCTGGGGTCCCCTTTATAAGGGCTCCACGCTCAGGACCTAGTCACCTCCCAAAGGCCCCACCTCCTGATGCCATCACATTGGGGCTTAGGACTTCACATATGAATTTTGGGGGAACACAAACATTGAGTCTCTGGCAGTTATCATTATCATTTCTGCTGTTATTATTATTACCAAGAGGAACTTGGCGGAAGGAAACTGAACCTGGGGTTGCAGCCCCTAGGCCTCGGCTTCTCAAACTTTAATGTGCACACAGCGCCCTGGGGTTCCTGTTACAGCTCAGAGTCTAATTCCACACATGTCTGGGGTGGGGTCTGAGCTTCTGCAGGTGATGCTGGTGCTGCTGCTCCATAGACCACACTTTCAGTGGCGAGACTCTAAAACTGCACCGTCCAATGCAATAGCCACTAGCCACTTGTAGCTGTTGAGCACTTGAAACGTGGCTAGTCCAAACTGAAGTGTGCTTGTGAATATAAAATACACATAGGATTTTCAGGTCTTACTACAAAAAAAAGAATGTAAAATATCTTTTTAATAATTTCTTCTTATATTGATTATATATTACAATTATAGGATATATCTGGTTAAATAAAATTTATTATAATTAATTTCACCTGTTTCTTTTTACTTTTTGAATGCAGCTACTAGAAAATTGTACATTGCAGGTTGCTCACATCATACTTCTGTTGGACTGCACTAATCTAGAGCTTTCTTTGGCTTTGTCAGGCCAGTTCAGGATTTGCCAAAGGTTTTTTGAGGGATTCACTTTGAAGGACTGAGCCTTGGGAAATGGGCTTTGAGTGACTGACTTCAGACCCAAAGAGATCCACAGGCAGTGAGAGAAGCCTTGAACTGTAGAAATGTCCAGTAGTTAATTGTTCAATGTTATGATGCCATGTCCTGGAAGGATCCATGGCTGTGTCATGGCCTCAGGACTCTCCCTGGGAGAAGTCAGACAAGTCATGAACCCCTGGTTCATCCTAATGCATTTAGTTGTGATGAGTTGGTCAGGCCTGGTTTCCACAATGAAAGAAAATGAGCTTATGCTGTCCCAGTCACAAGAGACTGAGCGTGGGAGGGCACGTGGCGCATCTCATATGTGCTTTTCATGTTTATTTAGTTTGTTTACTAATGACTAGGAATACACAGCTGGGAGGAGAAGCTCAGAATTGCCAAAGACCTGCCAGCAGTCCAGAGTTTGGTTTTTCTTTGTCCCCTAATGGAGGGGGACAATCTGTGCATTTATGGACAAGGATGGGAGGGTACATTTGAATTTTGCCCTTTAGATTTCTGGGAAGGAAGAGAGGCAGAATGTCACGTGGGCTACTGGATAATGCATATTGCTTTCCCCTCTCAGGAAGCTGACAATGACAGATCATAAGCAGGTGGAAAGGGAGAAGCAGCTCTCAGGGGCAGAGAAGAAACTGAAATTGGCTGCAGAAAAAACGCAGAACTACAAGTGAGTTCAGCTCCTGCATACAAGCGGCTCATAAAACTCCTGTTAGATTCTTTTTAACTTTTGTATAACGTTTAGACCCAACTCATACACAAATATAAACAAATGTTCAGAATACATTTATATAGAGATTTCACACAAGAAAGACAAATAAGTTTTACAAATGTTAATTAATAGGGAAACAATGTAGCAATAGCTTTGATCCTACTGTACCTTTATAATCATATGAAATGTGTCTTATAGGATTGGATAATGAGTATAAGGGTAGAGTTCAGATAATGGGAACGTGGGCAGATTATTTAAAATAATCCTCAATATTGTGCTTTATCTGATGAAAGCCATTGTCACTCACAGGCCACAAATTGAAGAAATGCGAGAACAGGTGGAGCGAGCAGAGTCCACTTTCAGACACCAGGTAACCCACATTCTGCCCAAAGTTCCTGGATCCTTCAGCACCTAATACAGAGGGTTACAATGGCCCTTGGGAACCCTCAACATAGGGTTTTTATTGACATGTTGGCTTTTTCAGATTGCTGCTCATAAGAAGATGGACCAAGACAACTGAGTAAGAATTTTTTTTCTTTTTTTCCATTTTGTGCACAGTCTGACATGACGGCACATGGATGCGTTTTTCTCCCACAGCTCAGGGCTCGTGATTTAGAGAAGGTGATGGTGGAGCAGAGCAGGGAGCTTGCCCACTTGAAAAACACGTACAGGATGTTGACATGTGTTTTTTAAGGGTGTTTTGAGATTTTTAAGGTGAAGCTGTTTAGCATCTCACGGAGGAATTGGTGTTGTAATTCTTATTGAATCCATTCTTTCTCTATCCTCAAGATTGGCAGTAATCCAAAAATGGAGGCTCCCAGAGGAATACAGGAGGCAGAATCCAATCCTGGGAGGATCAGACAGTCAGGACCCTCCTCAGAGAGGTAAGGAACATGTTGCTGCAAAATCCACACAATCGACGTCTCGTTCCAGTGGGTAATTGTCACGTTTCCTGGAAACAATCCCATACGCTTACTGGAGAGAACAGCTTGTCTCGCAGGGGTGACCGGATGCTGTTTTCCACAGGTGCCCTCAGCCAGAAGGACCCTTTGGATCTGTCCCTTGTGAATAATGGAGCTCCCAGTCCTCCACTGATCGTGGACCCCCTCCAACCTCTTGGTTACTCTTAACTAGAGAGGTGTGTGCTGGATAGGAAGTGGGTCAGTGCCTCCTTCCCACCTTGAGACAACGTTGAAGCTTCTTTTATTTGAAAAAAATAACATGAACAACATTTTAGAATCGAGGCTGTAAGTCCTGATGAGAAAGAAATTTTCCTGATTTGTCTTTATGGATAAATCTTCTATACAAGATCTACTTTAAGACAGCAGGCATTTCTCTACTATTTTTGGAGGTACCTTTATTCTTTAAAAAAAATTTATATTGAGAACTATAGTACCCCATTAGTAAATTAAATGTCTATGTCATTTCACTCCACTAATGTTGTAAGGGCAACTCTAAACTTTACAACTAACGCCCCATAGCATTAATCTTTCCTTTCCTCATGACTATAATATTAGTCTCTTTAAGACCATTTCTGCTCATAAATACTTACATAATACCTGGTCAGATTTATAAGGCAGATTATCCATGGTCTAAAAGATTTAAAAAATCTACCTGTGGCTTGAAGAGAAGGACAGGTGCTCTTCGTGTTGAAGACTTATTGATATTATCCTGTTTAAGGATATTCTGATTTTAATCTTACTCTATGGTGAAATTGTGACTCCCCCTCATGTGTATTGGGAAACCTCTGTTTCGTCGTTGATTTCAGCTAGTTGAGCCTGGATCTGTCCACAGGCGGCTGATGAGTTATGAAAACCCATGAACCAGGGTCCTGTGGTGTCTTCCTCGAGGGTCAGGGGACCAGTCTCCTCCTCATCCTCATGGGTCACCTCAGGCATGTGGGGAACCCTCTGCTGCTGATAAGGGCCCTGAAGTGGGAAAGAGTGTCAGACAGTGGAGGAAGGCGTGGAGGGTTTGTTCTCCTTCCACACGGTCTGTGCAAACCCGACTAACCCTTCTCCCTCCTCTCTGTCCTTTATCACATCCAGGACCTGGTGCTGCAGCTCCCATGCGGAACAGCTCCCCCCACGGAGGAGGAGGATGAGGGCAAGGTAAATGCTGCAGTCACTTTCAGTGGTAACTCTTTCTGGAAGGTTTTCTGTGTGTATGCAGCAGCCCCTCTGGCCTTGTCTCTGGTTTGTGTGTTCCGTGGTACGTCTACCGTGTCATTTACTTTTCCGAAAGTAAAGTCTTCCCCAAGAGCCTTCGGTCTTCTCCACTCTCAGCTCTCATCTTTGGTGGTGACTCCAGAAGCTGTAAGTGCTTAGAGACTGAGGGCTGCTGGGCTTTTACTGTGTGTTTCTGGAAATAACATGAGGAGGATCATACCTAACTCCACACTTAGGTCTCCAGGCACAGCCGACTCCTTCCCAACCTCCTTTATGTGAGAACATTGCTGGGGCACTGAAACATGATTATTATCGTTATTTTACCACTTTCCTGTTCAGGCTAGGTCACTGACCTGTTTAGACAGTCTGCTGTAATCTTCACAACTGAAAAATGTGAAAAGTCACATACAGGTTAACTTTATATTGTGTGCTTTGCAATTCTGAATGCTCTTATTCAAAGTCAATATTTTTCTAAATTTCATAATTCATCACCGTCCCATTTGTTTGGAAATGTTCTGATGCAGAGTTTTCCAGTCATACACTTGCTAAAATATTCTGAATTATTGGAAACCTCTTAGTTGTAATAAAAAATGTAACCTGGAGGTGAATTAGTGAAAAGTGAAAGTCAGACCTGTTGTGCCGATTTCCAGAAAAGACCCTATGTTGTAGTCACACAACCAGGTTTTTTATGGCCTGTGTATCTGTTATAGCTGGTAAATCTTCCGATCATACCTTATTGGACTTTTCCACATTGATGTCAAAATAGATTTATTTTAATTCTGTCCCTTAGAATTCCAAACATATTTTGCCATACGACAAAACTAGTCATCTTGCCATAGTGTACTTCAAACTTGCTATTACCTGTAAAATAAGATAAATACTAGAGCTGGGCCTAATGGACTTCTATAGGTAACATTGTTCCTCTCAGAAAAGACTTTCCCAGCTTCCCTGCAGGATGCAGGAATCCTCACCTCCTCAGAGGTCTTTGTGGCCAATGGGCAGTCCCTCCTGAGAGGGAGCAGGGTTAGCAGAGAGAATCAGCAGGGCCGTGCTGGCAGAACTGGTATTGACTCCTGCTGTGCCTTTTGCAAGCCGTGTGACCCTGGAAGAATGACCTAATTCCTCTTAAGGGCTTTGTTCCCTTACATTTAGAGCAGGATGTCATTCTTACCTTGCTGAGTTCTGAGAATCAGAGATAGGACATGAAAAGCATGTAGAAGTTTCTCTCATGAGCAGCTATGATTCCATGTGTGGAGGATGGACTTAGATATAAAATAAACAACCTCACTCTACACCTCAAGGAACTAGAAAAAGAACAAACTGAGCCCAAGTTTAGCAGAAGAAAGGAAATTATAAAGGTTAGAGCAGAAATAAATGAAATGGAGAACATGAAAACAACAGAAAAGATTAACAAAACTAAGAGTTGGTTCTTTGAAAAGATAAACGAAATTGAAAAACCTTTAGCTGGACAAATCAAGGGAAAAATAGAGAGGGCCCAAATCAACAAAGCTATAAATGAAAGAGGGGACAGTCCAACTGATAGCACAGAAATACAAAGGATCATAAGAGGCTACTGTGAACAACTATATGCCAACATACTGGACAACCTAGAAGAAATGGATGAATTCTTGGTAACATACATTCACAAGACTGAATCAGGGAGAAGTAGAAAGTCTGAACAGACTAATTACTAGTAAGATTGAATCAGTAATGAAAAAAACTCCCTATGAAGAAAAGCCCAGGACAAGACTGCTTCACTGGTGAATTTTACCAAACATTTAAAGAAGAATTAATGCCAATCCTCCATCTCTTCCAAAAAATCAAAGAGGAAGGAACACTCTCAAACTTGTGTTACGAAGCTAACATCATCCTTATACCAAAGTCGGAAAAGGACACTACAACAAAAGAAAACTACAGGCCAATATCCCTGATGAACATGGATGCAGAAGTTTTCAAGAAAACACTAGCAAAATGAATTCAGCAGTACTTTAAAAGTATTATACACCATGATCAAATGGGATTTATCCCTGGGATGCCAGAATGGTCCAACATATGCAGATCAATAAATGAGATCCATCACATTAATAGAACAAAAGAAAAAAATCATATGATTATCCCAATAGATGCAGAAAAAGCATTTGACAAAATTCAACATTTGTTTATGATAAAAACTCTTAATGAATTAAACATAGAAGGAATGTACCTCAACATAATAAAGCCCTCATGTGACAAGGCCACAGCTAATATCATACTCAATGGTAAGAGGTTGAAAGATTTTCTTCTAAGATCAGGAATAAGACAAGGGTGCCCACTCTCATCACTCCTATTCAACATAGTAACGGAAGTCCCAGCCAGTGCAATCAGGCAAGAAAAATAGATAGAAGGCACCAGAATTGGAAAGGAAGAGGTAAAATTTTCTCTATTTGGAGATGACATGATTTTATATATAGAAAATCCTGAAGTCTCCACAAAAAAACTATTAGAACCAATCAAGAAATACAGCAAAATTACAGGATACAAAATGAACACACAAAATCAGTAGCCTTTCTATACACTAACAGTGAATTATCTGAAAAAGAAATAAAGAAAATGATCCCATTTTCAATAGCATCAAAAACAATAAAATACTTCAGAATTAACTTAACCAAGGAGGTGAAAGATCACTACACTGAAAATTACAAAACATTGATGAATGACGTTGAAGAAGACACAAATAAATGGAAAAATATCCCATTTATGTTCATGGAACCTCTCACTAGGCCGTGCTGAGGTGGCTTCCCACATAGCACAGCCACAGGCACTCACAACTAGAATATATAACTACATACTGGGGGGGCTTTGAGGAGAAGAAAAAGAAAAGAAAAGAAAAAAAAGATTGGCGACAGATGTTAGGTCAGGTGCCAATCTTTAAAAAAAAAAGATTCCAATGTCATTTTTGCATAAGTAGAAAAAACAATCCCCAAATTTATGTGTAACCACAAAAGACTCTGAGTATACAAAGCAATCCCAAGAAAGAAGAACAAAGCAGGAGGCATCACACTTCCTGACTTCAGTTATGTTATAAAGCTATAGTAATCAAAACAGTATAGTGCTCACAGAAAAATTGACACAAGACCAACAGAATAGAATTGAGACCCTAAAAATAAGCCCATGCATATATAGTCAGCTAAGATTTGACAAAGAGGCCAAGAATACTCAATGGAGAAAAGACAGTCTCTTCAATAAATGATGCTGGAAAAATTGGACATTCCCATGTAAAAGAAGGAAACTAGACGCCTATCTTATACCACTCACAAAAATTAGCTTGATAGGGATTAAAGACTTAAATGTAAGACCTGAAACTATCATTCCATCTCATTCTCACTGCTCTTAATATGGAAAGATGAAGCTTTTGTGGTGGGGAAGGGCAGGGTGGAGAGTGTTCCTGGAAATAGATGCCTGTTTGTCTGGAACATACATTCTTTAGTAGTCTCGAATTGTCTCTCTGATCCTCTAGGACTTACCCCTTACTGCCCTACTTTTGCAGACACAAGCGGTTGATGTGTGGTGACAATAATTTGTTGCCTTGACTTCTATAACTACCATAAGCTCTCCATGGAACCCACTGGGAGGGGTAGGGTTTTGTGGCACTGATACTACTCTTTTGAAACCTGGTGGAGGGGAAGGTGACAAGTATTGTTCCTGCTTCAATGAGGGTCAGCTTTTGTTGCAGTTGGTGTTTTTGCCCATAATATTAACATGTTTCAAAACTTTAACTCTGTTCCACAGGTCAATATGGCTGCAAGAACACATGCTCCTTTCCCAGAATTGCCCTAAATGCCCTACCCATGGGTTGCCCTTTACCGCTACTCAAGGGCTGTGGGCCACCTCCACCTCCTCCACACTAGCGGCCTCTGGGACTTCAACCATTGGCACTACCTCTACCAATTGGTAAGATGATCTGAACACTAAGTGTTGACTTGTAGAGCATAGTCATCTTTTTCTTGTTGAGTCTTTGGAGATGTAGAGATGGCACTACAGAGCTTTGCAATGCAAGTGTAAACCTAGCTGAGGACATTCTAATGTTCCTCAAGTTTCTCAGGACATACATAACATGGGCTGTGTCATTCCTCTGTCCTGAGCTGACAGTAGGTGTCTCTTGTGGAGAAGGAAAGAGGCTTTTTACAGAAAGGCACAAAGAGAAGTTCTGCAGATGCACATTGTTTAGAGACCATGTGCCGGGCTCTGTGGGGGATGAGGCGCACCCCTAACTTCAAGGGCTTGATGTGTCCTAGAGCAGAGAGGGACATTTCCATTAAAGAGCTTCTATTCACCATGATGGAAGCACCAGTGAAGGGCTCCAGAGAACAAAAGAGGGAGATGTGAATCTCACCAGGATGAAAGGGGAAGTTGTGGCAGAGAAGGAGGAATTGAGGAGAGGCCTGGTGGGAGTTGGCTGGGTTCCCTTAGATGGAGCTGGAAGGCCATTCCCAGCAGGGCAAGCAGCTTGAGCAGGGAGTGTGAAGGCAGCGTGAGGTCCACGCAGAGCCACTGCGTGTTTTCCAGTCACACAGTGTAGGCAATGCAGTTATCCTCACCAAGATGTCACTGTTGCCATAAAGCCCTTGGTTCATAATCTAAATAGAGATCTTGTTTCCCTTGGACTTCTGAAAGTTCTGGGTCTGTGTGACAGAAAAAACCCCTGGAGGTTTGGCGATTTTACTTGGTTCTTTCAGGATACTGTGTCTGCCTGAGATTATTGTGCCCCCGTGAGACTAAGAGTGCAGACAGGATCTAGATCAGCCGAGCGGCTGCCTTGGCCTTCAGTGAGTCGGACTCTGTGGGGGATTCAAGGTTGATCAGCAGCCACCCCTGCTGGACCCCTCTCACCACATCCCTGCATCCTCCAGTCACCACCCCTGACTGTCAGCTTTGCATCTCCCTAAGCTTACCACACAATATCCCAGTTCTTTGCCTGTGTTCCTGCCCCTAATACCAGCTCTCAGTGGGGCCTGCTCAGAGGCTCAGCCCGGTTGTCTGTGAGATGGGGTAATACTGGTTCCTGAGGTCATTGTGAGGAAGATGAGATTAAGTGCATAATGAAAGTGTCTTGCAAAATGGCTGGGGCATGTTGGCACTCACCATTCTCAGTGTACAAATGAAAATATCTCCACACAGAAGATTATCAGAAGATGGTCACTGAAGTACCTTCAACTAAACTAAGGGCATAAGAGCTCAGGCCCAGAGATGCACAATCCTTGTTTCAAAGATAAGGCAAAGAGTCCCCTTTTTCCTAGTGAAATTCAGGGCCTGCCGGTTAAAGGAGGAAAAGATAATTATGAGAATGTGTTCAGAGATCTGTACCTGAGATGTGAAGACAGTTATCTTCCATTAAATACAGACACACAGATGCAGCCACACACTAAAGTTTCGTCAGAAGCCACAGATATTTTATAGAAGACAAATGTATACAGGAAGAAATAAGCTCACAATGAAATAAGCCCAATTCTCTTTGCCTTATGTGACAATCATTTTGAAGGAGGACCCTGAGCTGTGATAAACAAGTTATGCCACTTTATTATGGTTTTCCCTTCCTGATTCTGCCCCCTCCACTTTTATTTCTCCTGTTGTCACCCCTAATACACTCTTTACAGCTCTAACTCAGTATTAGTGTTTGCCTCTTGAAGGACCAACTGACTCATCCTATGGAGTGTACACAGTGTGATTCTTGTACATACAGTTTAAAGACAGGCAGAAACATTGGTGATGGATAATAGAAGCAAGATTACCCTTTGTGGTGGTATTAACTACAAGGAAGCCTGAGGGAGTCTTCTGGGGTGGTGGAAACATCCTACATCTAGATCTATGTGGTTGTGCTACTTTATTCTAGAAATATTCATTGCCTGGTGCCTGCCAGTCACAGAGGTGCCTCGTGATCAGATAGACAGTTTATGTCCCTAGTAAGTGGCCTATTTCTAGTGGTGGGGAAGGATTAGGGGCCAGGAGTGGCCATGGGAGACCAGTAAGGAGGCCCCACAGTTGGCCAGGCCCCATCAGTGCCCTTGCACCAGGATGCCAGCTCTTCCCAAATGGCACCAAGTGTAGGAGTGCTGTGAAGGAAGCTTAAGTGGGAGCAGAGACTTCTTGACAAGTCCAGTGAACTCCATAATCCTCCTGCAATTTTCTTAGTGAGGGATGAGCGAGGCAGAAGTCAATAGCTAGAGACACCTTGAACAGGGCTGGAGTGGAGCAGTGGGCCTGAGAGACTGAGGCAGAGAAAGGGACAGGCAGAGAGTAGAGACAGAGAGATGTATAAAACTGGAGTATCTGCCTCTAAGGATAGAGACGAGGGCTGGCTAAGGAAAGATAAACTCTCAGCTCAAGTACCCAAGACATCCACCTTACTCTCAAATACCTAATAGAGGAGGACCATGCTTTTTGCCATAATTGGTAAGGCAGCTGGTACCATTTCATTAAAATTAATCCAATTATAAAGCTTTAATCATTAAAATAGTGCAATAAAATTATATGAATAGACAGACAAATACTATAGAAGAGGAAGTCCAAGGTAGACTGAAATACTTACAGGAATATAGATTATGAGAGAGGAGGCCTCTCAGTGCAGGGTGTTCAGACACCTGGGCAACGATCTGAAAACTAGGAAATTAAAGTTTAGCTCATACTTCAAAATCAACATTAACATAAATTACAAATGGATCATGATTTACCATTTAAATAAAAAGCATATGTTTTCATGGGGGTAAACCCATGAAGTCAAGTCTCATTGAATTATGCCCTTTAAATGGAGGCCATTTGTTATATATAAATTATACCTCATTAAGGTTGCTTAAAAAACATAAAAATACTAGAAGAATTGTAGGAGAATTCCTTTATAATCTTGAAATGGGTGGATGATGGGAATTTTTCTGACCATGTTTCAAAAATCCAAAAAGACATTAAAAATTTAAGAAATTTGACTACATTAAATTGAAAAACATCTACATGGCATAAAACACCATAAGAAAAATCAAAAGACAAGGCAAACTCAGAAAATATTTTCAACTCAGAGCACAGAAAAAGGAATGGCCTCTCAAATATATAAAGAGTTTGAAAGTAAGAAGAAAAAGCCAAACAACACATTAGGAACACAGGCTTAGAAGAGCAGAGTTTCACAGAAAAGGAAAACAAAATGGCTTCTAAACACATCCCCAAATGATCGGCTTTACTGACAGTAAGAGAAATGCAGATTAAAACCACACTGGATGTAACTTTTTACGTCTTTGATGAATGAAAAATGCACAAGTTTGAAAACACACTGTGTCCTGTGTCAGGCAAGCCTGGGAAAGGCAGGACTAGGATGCTCTGCTGGGGGAGTGTAACTGCAAACTGGCACGATTCGCATGAGAGGAGGTCTAGCAAAAGTAGACAGGCGTCTACCCTATAACCCAGCCTTTCGATGAAACAAGGTGAAAACTAGTGTATAGAGAGCCTACCTCTGCGAAAAAGGAGACATTGTTTCTTACCTGTGAATAAAATACAACTAGACCGCCGTATAAGGAATTAGGAAGAGAGGCTCTAGAGAAGTAGAAGGGAACCAGCCTTTAGTTGATAGTTTTCCAGATGACAAGGCGCCCCGGCCTTGTTAGAGAACTGAGCGATACCCAGAGAGCCTGCATTCTGAGCTGGATGTAGCAATTCTAGGAGACTTTGAGGTCATGTTTCTCGGAGATGAGATGAGGATATTCTATGTGTGGGACACATGCTCTATGTGTATTTGTGGATATTTGGCTACACAGAGGAGTAGACTGTGACAGAATCTGTTAGTTGTCTCTCAACATTCATGCCCTCCTCTTGCTCATAGAGATGGAATCTCTATTTCTTAGCTGAGCGCACAGCAACTCAGAAGAAACATCACGTTTCCCAGCCTCTCTGGAGGCTAGTGCAGCTGTATGGCTAGATTTGGATGACTGGAATGTGAGCAGAAGCAACGTGTGAACATTCCTGGTTATTCACTTAGGCCAGGGAATGTCCTTCCCTTCCCCCACCCGCACTTCCTACCGCCTGGAAGGTGGACACGATGGTTAGTCCTCTCAGCAGTACCCTGGAGATGGTGGAGCAACTTTACAGAAGGAGCCTGGGTCCCTGAGAGGGTGAGCTGCTAAACCAGTAGGGACTGCATATGCCCAGACTATTAAGTGAGGAAGAAATGAGTTTATTATTTTGTTCTTGAAGCAACCAAACCTATATCTAAGCAATACACCACAGCAAGGAATTTCTTCATCTTGAAGGCAGTGGGAAGCTGTTGACAGGATGTGAACTAGATGATTTATAGGAATATTTTAGCTGTAATGGTAAGATTTGATAATTCCATTTATGTGCAGTTCTGTTATAAGCAAAATGAATCTACAACGGCAGAAATCAAATCGGTAGGTGCCTGGGGCCAGGGTGGGGCAGTAACTGCAAAGAAGGACAAGGAGACATTTTGCAGACTATAAAAATGTCCCATATCTTGATTATGGTGGTGGTTCTTATTCGTATAATCAGAAAACCAGTAAGCCATTCCCAATTTTCAAAAGGGATGTCTCAGAGTTCATAAGAAATATTGCAAAAACAACTGTGTACAAAGGTAAACTCTTATCCCCAAAAAGCCTTCGAAGGAATAAAAATTGTAGATTTTAGACATTAGACATTCTGTATTTTCAAAGTAAAAGATATTCTCCTAGCACAATAGTACACAGTCAAATTAGAAAATTGTCAAATAGAGATACATTTGGAAAAAGAATAAAAAATTGCCTCATCTACTATAATTATTATTTTTACCATTTCATGGCATTTTTGTGCAGCATATTTTTCATTCTGTGTGTGAAGCATATACACTTTTAACTACATTATACAGAATGTCATGATTTCTGCTGTTTTCCACTTGACATTAGACTGAGACCACTGTCCAT